TTTCTGGAATATGCAGTACCAAGTAGGCCTACGGATCTGTTGTCCATTCTTATTTACTTAAAATAATACCCCCAAAATCATGAGAAATACATGGCGTGAACATGACATGAATAGGGTCTACACTTAGTCATATGGTCATATACTGCACTTGGTAACAATTGCACACAATTCAAAGTACAATGCCGGAATATATACAATGTATTCATTGGGCCATGGAGGAACGAAAAGATATATATATGCTCGACGGTAATGTGCGTAGGCCTAGTAAAAGTCACTCAGAAGAAGTCAGTATTCAGTGACCAGTTGTACATACCATACAAACATGAGTATGACACTATAAGCAGAATCCAAGTCATCGACAAATCCAGCCCTAACAGCTCCATGTTGACCCGCTATTAACAAACTGATGAGTAAAAAAGAATTGATCTCAGCTTTTCATATGCAAATCCTCGCACTGTCGCAGCTCAAGGTTTGTGAAAACCAATATGTAGTATATCCTGTACGCGTAGTAGACTGGTTGAACTGAGTTGTCAGTGGTACGCTGGGCATACTGTACTAAGAGAACTGCCAACCGGTGATGTCAACATAGGCGTTCAAAATACAGTTCAAAATACAGTTCAAAGTACTGCCTATGTAGGCCAAAGAACTTTTTACTAAAAAAAAGAAGATGTTTATATGAAACAGTTCCTTCATCGACATCTTTATCTTACCTTCAGACACACCATTGCGTGTTGTCAGGGCAGACGCCCTTTTTTTTTCCATAATGTCACGAACGCTTTAATTTTCGGCGCCATAGGAACAATGACTTTGATGACAAAGAAAAAGGGGTGAAAAGTTCCCGCTCGTGCCAAAATATTCAAAATAAAATGGTTATCTTCACTTTTAATCTTTCCAACCGGTTTGGTGTGTGACCGGGGATGCCAACCTTTTGAGTCTATCTGATTATCTTCAACTTTGGCAAAGGACGCTGACTGAATTAAGCTTTCACAGAAAGTTGATGGAAGAAAATGGTTGATTATGGTTAACAAGGGAGCAGCTGGAAATATTTTTCAGCACGAGAAATACTTCATCATAACAATTTGGCTGCTGTAGACTGCACAAAACTTCAGCCAGTATCAAAGCAGCACAGAAAACTAAAAAGATTGGTTAAAAACACATCACAACGGCGAAGGGGAAGGTCGGAGTTAGGCATTAAGAAAACTGCAGTTGAAATGGAACAATCCTGTGTGTGAGACTATTCAGACGGAACAATCTGCTTGTGATGGCAATAGCTTGTACCAAGTTCAAAGTACGCGCTGTGATTGACCGTTCACCTACATGTACATGTACGGTACATCGACCCGATACTCAACTGTTCAATTAAAGTGGCTACTTGTGTGGCCAGAGTCGAAAACCTTTTCGTACCTTTATCATTGTGATTAATATAAAGGACTTCCGTCAAAGTTCAAAAGCAACTTCGCACGCAACCCGATCAGCTTGTACAGATGGATCGATTGAACTTTTTTAAGGCATTTCTTATAGGCTTTTATAGAAATATCAAGAAAGAAGTTAGCGCAAGGGCAACTCGCAATATGGTCACTTTACTCATGTAAAAAAGATGCAAGTCAATGTGAACGTTGTACGTGAGATGTAGGGTCATGAATATCGAGAAAGAAAACATTGCAATTTGCAAAACGTGGTCTGGATGCATTACATAAAAAATATAGGGAGTAAAATTGAGCTTTCAACTTGAACTGCCAGCTCCAATGTAAGTATAACCACGGGGTCGCAAAATTATGCAATTTATCCGTGAAAGGGTACGATCGAAGTGCCGCACAGGAAACAGCTATCTGACCAAGTTTGGGGAAAATACAGTACATATAGGTTAAAATCTGTACGCACTGGGATTATCGGAGGAGCAGTGCCATTGGTGTCCTCCGCCAAAACATTATCGAGGGGGATGTCCCCCCCCCCCCCCCCCATCCCACCCCTGATGAGATATATTTCTGACCACATCACATTTTCTGCCGTTCAATTTATTTGCGTCATCATCGGAAATGAACAATATAAATGTTGCCATAAATGAGTCTTTGATGGAAACAAATATGCATGGTGAATATTGGTTGACTCAACAATAATGAGTCAACATTTCGATAACACAGCAGCATTGTCATCAGACACGTTTGACAAAATGACGTGGAGTTTTGCCAAATAGTGCACATCAACTTCAAACCCACCTCCCTCCGATAAAATGGATTGGTCTAATCTGACTATTGTCGCCAATTTTCTTTGTTGCTGTGTGCGCGACCTCGAGGGAAAGTTATTTTCCTAATAAAAGGACAATGGACAGCTACCTGTTCCCCCCCCCCCCCCCCCCACCACCAAAAAAAGAGTCCGTGGCTCTCACCGGTACCCACCGTTACAGTGTGCACGTATTACATTCTGCCTCGCTAGACCTTTTTGTGTGCCACTGTGTATTTTGTGAGGTTCCCTTTGAGAGTTGTAAACTCCTTGACTAGAATAGGTTCAAATTCAATAGATATGCCCCCCCCCCCCCCCACCGTACAAAAATGCAAAGTCACCCAATCTTTGTATACCTGGATGATAATCAGGCATCAAGTTATTTTGGATTTAGAACGAGGAAAATAACAATAATTACGGCACGGAAAATAGTTATAATGCACCTGACCACACTTTTAAAATATAATATAAATAAATCAAATTCAAGCACTCCAATGATATAAACACTTGAATTTTATAGTCATTTACCACTTATGTGTTACCGGGCAGCTGCCCCCACACTCTTTTTGCTATCAGTTACATATAACTGTAATATTTTTTTTTACGTAGCAGCGAAATAAAATGTTAAGAATCAAGTAAAAAAGTGACGTCAACTTGTTTAACATGATCTGCAGCTATAACTATATTTTCAAAGATAATGATCGCTCTTTTCCATAATACAGGTTATATAATATACAGTCAGTTTTAACTATTTGCAGAAGATCCGCGCACGTTTATAGAACACCAGTTAAACATCAGAATCAAATAGAACTAAAATATCACAAAGTTGACGTCAAAAGACAAACGTCGAATTTCTAAATATAAACATCATACTATAGTATTAGTTATGTACAAATTAAGTAAAAATATAGAAATAGTAATATAATTTCTTTTTCCATAACAGTGCACGTTTCCAATGAATAAAGGCAACTAACGAACACTAGTGTACATGTATTGTGCAATCACATAAAGTTCAAATTCAACGTCGATTTATTAAAATATGAAAATGTAAAATATCTACCCTGAAACACAAAGGCTTTACATTTACACACTTTTGAATTATCATAGACATTACAAATACACTACACTATGCAAAGTTGTAACGAGGAAGTGTTTAAATATTAATCATATAGCTTCGTTATTGTAGTGAAGGGCGTAAATTATTTTCAGCCCATTTAACTTTGGTGAGGCACTAAATGGCGAATTGTTTTTATCAAAGTGCTGAAATTCATGCCGAATAGTATAACGTATCACAACACTTGCACACTAAAAGGAATTTCATCAAAATCAATATGAGAAGGAATATAACTGAAATCCATATATCAACCAATTGCTATCATACCGCTTTTATTTCAGCAAGTGTTATAAAAGCATTTTAAACTAAACTTTGACACGAATTTTGTTTCGGTTTCCTTAAAAAAATGATCCAAAAACGGATAACGCAGTCTGTAAATTCTAAAACTCTCAAGAACTCTCAAATGATGATCAAGAAATAGTTCTACCAACAAATTCTATGCAGCTTCTTACTAGCAAAATACATCGAACAGTAGAGCTTCAACATTAACTTGCTGCTATTCATTCAACAAAAGTGGCACACATGCCTAACCCTAACAATAACCAAATGAGTGATTGATGTAAACATAATGACATATATCATGAACGTCTTTAAATCATCTTAAGGCTGAGATCAGATTTCTCTCCTTCTATCAACCGTGGTTGCTGTCTAGTTTCTTGGGACTGCACTGAGCTTCATACTCTTCGGAGCAAGGAAGCCAGTCTTACCGAGCTTGGGTGGGATCTGAAGAAGAGAAAAACCACAAATTCTTCAATTAAACTTCACTTAGATATACGTTCATGTAAAATGTATTGCTGATTATCTTTAAGATCGTTCAATATTTGGCCATGAGCCCCGCCCACCTTTGGTTTGTGTATATTTCTCACAATTCTTGTCGCCATCTTGGACCAAGCTACCGCGGTCACCTGACCATAAGTCGTGATTTAATTGGTCAATGCGTACTGTTCGACTGACAGGCAGGAAGAGTCCATTAATTTGGGATAGATTGATACATCTTAAAATTCTTCTAAAGGTTCTAAATCAAGAGAAAGAAGGGTCGAATTCCACAAACATAACGTTCGAAAGACAGTTGCAAATGATCGGGGTGTTAAGATGCCCAAGAAAAGAGTACTTTTACATGCATTTTGGATTGCATGTTCGGACTTTTCTTCCACAAACAAGACAGGGCATTGTGTTCGCATCAACGTCTTTGCTGGTTATTGGTGAAAACGAAGATGTTGATTCATTCTTTTAAGCACTGTGTTCTTTCTTACCTCGGTTTCTGAGCAGACATCAAAGCGATACTGCTGCAGTACACGCACCAGCGCCATCTTGGATTCCAGCAAGGCAAAGCGCATACCGATGCAGTTACGAGGACCGAAGCCGAACGGCATGTAGGTGCACGGTTTGATGGAGGCCTTGTTCTCAGGGCTGAACCTGTGAAGAAAAAGCAATAAAGGTTTCAAAAACTCAAAAAGTGTGTTTGCAATAGTGGAACGTTTTTTCTTAGCAGCATAACAATTGCTTTTGGCTCTATTATTTTGAATTTTATATCATCAGATACACAGGAACAACGCTGAAAAAAAGTTGAATTTGAAAACAAATACATTAAGACATTCTACCTTTCCGGGTCAAATTTAGTCGGATTTGTCCAGAATTCCTCGTCGTAATGTAAGCTCCAGAGACTAACGAACACGTTTACACCCTTTTCGATGGTAAGACCTTCGTAGCTAATTGTCTCATTGCACATACGATCAAATCTGTAAAAGATGAATCATGAGTAAAATATTAAACCTTTTTACAGATAGCTTTCAAAATAAAAATTCGTAGTCAAAGTCAGTTCACGATTGAAGTGTTCCTTACATGACTGCTGGGGGATACATGCGCAGTGATTCATCAATCACCATGTCCAGGTACTCCATCTTGGCGATGACGTCATAGCCGAGGTTGTCACGTGTGGGAGCGAGGTTGTCAATCTCAGCGTGCAGTTTCTCTTGCGCGTCTTGGTTGGTAGCCAGCAGGTAGGCAGTGAAGCTCAACAGTGTGTTGGTAGTCTCGTAACCAGCCAGGAAAAAGGTGATAGCCTGAGGTTATAATAAACAATCATGTTCAAATGAGAATTCAGAAGTCAAATCCATACCCAAGTGAGAATTCAAGAGTCAACTTCTGCCCAAGTACGAATCCAAGAGTCAAATTTGACCAAAGTGCGAGTTCAAAATAGAAATTTGGTCGAATCAGCAATGAATATTTTGAATGGTAAAAACTTGTTTTCTTTTGCTTTTCAGATATTGTTTTGCACATTGCTTTCATTACCTCTCACTTAATCAAAAGTTAACTTTCAAAGAAGATATTAGTCTTTTTGGTAAAAAATCTGTTAACCTTCTTGTCATTCTGATGATGATTCTGTTCATGTAACAGGCATTTTCACAAGCACGATTTGTGTTGTTCTTTCGTGGCCGCAAATAAGAGAATAACTTGATTTCTTTCTTTTTTAAGTACTTTCCAAATACACGCATCATTTACTGAGAACCAAGGAAAGTACATATCCATAATATTATACAAATCACAAGAAATCAAGAATATTAGGTAACTCTACGAATCCATGTTCTCAATTTCATCATTGTTTACTTCTCTTTCTTTTTTCTAATTTTGACACCCCGTGATTATTACTTTTTTGTCTTTCCTCCGAGTTCCATTAACACCCACCTGTGCCATGACGTCCACTGTCGACAGTGGTCTGCGATGGGCGGCACCCTTGTTCTGACCGTTCCCTGCGGTGGGCGTGTCTTCCTCCTCGTGTTCCTCGTCCTCGTGGGCGTTCAGCATCAGCTGCAGCAGATCGATGCGCTGCAAAAAGAAGAACATCGAATAAGGCATATAACTGTCACAACAAGGGTGTTTTGCGACCAACTAACTATTCAACAGACATAAGTCAAATCAAATTCAATCCCGAATCTTGTCGAATCAAATCTAACCTTTGACGCATCCTGACCCTCCTGTTTGCGCATGTTGCACGCGGCCTCCGTGACGTTCATGAAAAATTTTATAACTTCCGGGTCGAACAGGTCGAATTTGAGATAAGCAAAGATGGGCGACAGAGAGGGGAAGGCGGCTGAAAAAAAAAAAAAAAACATTTTGTCACAAAAGAAACCCCGGTTCATTCCTAAGTATAGTCTTACCGGACAATAAAAAGTGATGGATAGGTTTCAATCTAAGGCAGCTGATTTAGTATCATTTCATAAAAAAAAATCATAAAAATAAAAACCAGTTCACAACGTTTTGGATGCACAGTCACTTATACTAGAAAGAATAATTACGCATTGCCAAAATTGTATTTATTTCTGATTCACTTATTCATCTATTTACAAAAATGTTGATGCTTTTATAATTTAATAAAAAAAGTCTTTAAAAAATGTACAAGCGTATTCCATAAATGGCGTTTACTATTGGCTGGTTTTAATATTTAATCTATTTTTGATTTCAAAAGTGCAGTTTCAATTTAAATTGCCTCCCGAAGAATCCAACTCACAGACGATCATGAAAGCGGGATTGAAGAAGCTGAAATCGAAGGCCTTCTTTGCGTTCTTGACGAAAGGATCATCCTTGTTCTGCTGGGAGTCAACTTTGAGGCCGAATCCACACTTGGCAATGGCGTCCATGGTGAAACCACCAAACAACCTAAAGATAAACAAAACAGGGTGAATGGGGGCGCTGTACTTAACAAACGCCATATTGGGGGTACCAACAGACGTGAACCTCGGGTTAATGAAGTAGGTTTCAATGATGCTATTTTGCAATTCCATTTCCAAACATTACAATCTTCCATTTTTAAATTGAAATAAAGTTACGAGATTTGTTTCAATGCAATATTTTTACTGTTCGAAACGAAATAATGGGGTGGTTTATACTGCGCCTTATTCGCCCAAAAATGATGGCCAATTTTCCCAACAATTGACATTAGATTCTTGGCGCTTTGGAAGACTTTTACTCAATAAAATATGTTTTTCGGTACATGTAGTTCATTAACAATGCTCTTTTAGAGCTTTCTAAGATTCAGTACGAAAATAAGTCAAATACTAACTCTGGGGGAGGTGAACCTACGTCCGATCGATTAAAGTACAGGAGTCTTAAACACTCTACCAGCTTTCTTGTCCGAGTTCAAACTCCAACACAGCAGCGAGTACAACAACTAAGGACCTAATAAACATCGTCTTTTTTTTACAATTTCCAAATGCTTGTTATGATAGAAAAATATCAATATACATTAGTATCACATGATTATTTCGCTTGTATCTTACACTCTGCAGTCGGCGGCTTTTCCTCCCTCCTGGGCCTTGCTGAAACTTGCCACCAAGGTATCACAACATTCATTGATCGTCTCCGACATCTGCAAAGATTTCATTCAAAGACAACTATTACATTGCCTGAAGGTCTCAAACAACTAAAGGTTGAGTTGAGTCAAAAAGAAGGTAACCTAATGAGAAAAAAATATTTTGAAAAATATGTGGCTCGCACTATTTAGTAAAAAATGAAAAAAAAGGATAAAACGCATATTACTGACTATTGTAACTGTGAAAAGTTAAAAATCTTAATACAAACATTACAAAATTCAGCTTTCCACCAATTATCATTTACCGTTCAAGTACAATGAAACAAGGGCGTTTTCTGCCTTTATGAATGAAGACAATTTGCATAGGAAAAGAACACGCACAAAATCACCGTTATTATTTCAAAAACAATTCCTCATTTTCAAAACACAAAATCTAACAGTGAAAGTAATGTTTGAATCTTGACAAAACCTATATCAATCTCATTTGTATCTGAATGCCTGTGCGATGTAATCTCTGGTTCTCACTCAGCTCGATAGCTTCAAACTTTATTCAATGGGCAGCTGTAAATTCTCACTAGAATAAAGTGCATTTCACTATTTGGAAATTTGGAAATTAAAGAGCAGCAAAGTAAAAAGCAAAACAAAAAATACAAGGAAAAAAAACAAACAAACACCTCGTTCTACTATAAATTTGACAGTTGATTCTTTTGAATACTCTTTCATAAAATCTTACCAGTCTCATTTTGGAGGCACTGAATGACGGAGTGATGACGTTGCGTATCTCTTTCCATTCTTCGTTCGCAAGCTGAGTCAAGCCTCTGTTCAAGGGCTTTTGCCCGAGTGGGAATTTCTGCCCAAAACAGAATGGAAAACACAAATATTCGAATGAAACGTAAAATACCAGCAACAGTGCGATAAACATGTGGGAAAGGAAGGCGTGAATTGATGTGATTCGGATGAAAAGTTTTAAATTCTTACCCTCCTGTTGTAGAAACTGGAGAAATTCTTGACCAAGATATTCTTCAAAATGTCAGGATCATTGATAATCAGTACTGGACGTCGGAAATCATACATTCTGGAATAAATAAAACAGAAGAATTATCAATTTAATAGAATATAATCGATAAATTGTTTAAAAAAAAAAAAAAAAAAAAAAGTAGAAATACAATTCAAATGTTACATTCGCGTTAATTGTACGTACCCGACGACTCTGCCATGCTTCTTTACGTACTCGGTAAAAGTGTGTTGGAGTCCCTGCGAACACAGAAAATTAATAAGGAAAAGTCTCTGTAGAATGCTTTCAAAAATAAATGTTTTGCCAATATTCCTGAACATTCGTTGAAAAGTCTACCAACGTTTGTTGTTGAACGGCCAAGAAGGTATACTGTTCGCCAGAAAACAGTCATCGGGAGTATGCAGGACCGTTTCGTAGTTAGAAACTACGTTTAGAAACTTTCGTATTTAGAAACAAGTTTGTTTACGGCATTTACTGACAGTCACTCGTTTGTTTATATCAGGGGAATATTCTTCCGGCAAAATCATCAACTGACAAAACCATACGGAAAATATTAACTTTTTTTATCAGCAAAACATGGAAAATCTTACATGACGCCATTGCAGTATGTTCCCAAAGAAAGGAATGTAGTCGGCTACAGGGATGCCACACCTCTGAAAATACTGGTGACACCACCGATCATACCTGAAAATCAAGTAGGGAAAGAGTCACAAAATGCTTCCAATTCTCAGATGTTGTCCATAGTTCATAGCAACGATTCCGTGAAATATATAGGTTTTCTCAGCCTATTTTACCAAGTTTTCATTCAATTTAACACCTGCTCATTCAGTTTAGATTAAAATTGATAGATCACGCAGATCGTCATTCGACCCGCCAAAAAAGATCTTTCAAAAAGCGAACAATCATGGACATTTTCGCTCTTCATCCCTGCAAATTTCCCGAAGGACGTACAATTTTTCCGACAGGCCGATTTCGCCGTCCCCATTTTGCTCCTATCAGCGTCCCGTTTAAAAATTGGGACCTCAGAAGAAAATGGGAAATATATCAATTAAAACATCTTAATAATTTGAATGACCAAACGATGAAAATGACTGCCCATAAACGCATAAGTAAAGAAAAAAGTGGGCTTACGTCACATGCCCAGCAACGTTCACTAATTTGAATGCATTTACCGTCAAAAGATGTCAAAAACTTAATGTATGAATGCTGCAAATTAAGTATGGAATGCACCAAAACGACATAAAATGCCCCAAAATGAAAAATTGAAATTGAATGCAGCAACAATGAAAAAGAAACCCCAATTGGATCCGATGTGTCAAAATCACGCGAAATTGAATGGCCAATAATGAAAATGATCAGAAAAATTGGGAAATTGGCCAGGAAACCTATACTACGTACAAATCCAATTTTACAGGCAAATACACGGTTACAACACGTAACTATCATGAAAATACGGATCGAATGTCGAAGCGGCTCAAAAGCTCAAATCGCTTTAATTTTGTTTTGTTACTGAGCCTCGCCTTTGAAAAAAATCCTCGCCATTAAAATACACATACCCTCCTCCCGTAAAAAAAAAAGGCCGAGACCTTAATAGATACACTTGGCAATTAAACAATTACCATTATTGTCAAAGGTATGAATTTAGAAGTTGTAAAATCTGATATGAGAGTTTGGTCTGTTACACCGGCCTACGTTGGCAAGACCATGTCTCACTCTAAATCCAAAATCAGCAAACATTTTACGGCACACACCACCCCCGCAAAGTTAAAGCAGTTTGTCAAGTGCAGTGGACTGGAAGGGTTGCATGTACACTGTATTAAACTGTATTTTGGTGGTAAAGTGAATAACACGGTTTATTTGGCTTGACTTGGTTACTATACATGTTTAACGATAAGGTTGCTTCGAGTCATTGTGTTCACAATTGCACGAAGTCCAGACAAACTTGACGACTCACCAGGAAACCCGAAACCAGACCGAGGTTTGAGCGCTCATACTACGCATGCTTATGGGTGTTCCAAACCTTGGCTTCGTCATCACTTCGGCTTCATGCTCCAAGATCATTTTGAAGTCCGTGTTTTTTATGCCAAAGCCAAATGGAACTTCTTTCAAAACGTTGGCCTGATAACTATTGCAAATTGATGTTTATCGAGAAGAGTATAGTTGTGATGGGCTCATCTATTCTCCTAAACTCAGGGGCCTAAAAATCTACTGGAACGATCTCAGAATGAAATCGAGATTTCGAAAAAGCCACAGCTCAGGCTGGAACTGGTCCAGCTGACGGCGCGGCGAAAAGCAAACGCAACTTGCAGCTGATAATATTCAGGCCGTTTTCATTATACAATAAGCAAACGCAGAGACAATGACTGCTGCAACGGGATTTGTTGGGCAATGTCCAATACTAGATCATTCGTTATAGGCTGTACAGTATTTCTCAGTGACTATTAATGCGATACGGTTTCTCTTATGTGAATTTCATATACGTATATGCAATTAAAATCTGTGCTGCTGAAACTCACAAGCCCTTTTTATGTAATTCTTGTAATGATGATGTTTTCCCTTACAAAGCAATACAGAAACACAAGAATCATTTGACCGTTGGTAAAGCATTTCTGGCAAATTGTGACATGTACATCAAAACACTAATGCTATACCGACAATAAACCATGACTATAGATAACATCACTGCCTATCTCATAAATACACGGTATACAGAATAAGTACAAACCAAAAGACCACGCCAAACAATAATGACAAATTACCAATATTTCAAATTTAACGGATTCCTGTAACGTTCTGTTGCACCGGCCATTGAACAGTTCAAGGCCGTATTGTAAACAAACAACAATCGATTGACGTTCCTTGCTCTATGCTCATGCACTCTCACCACAGAACGGGAATATAGTGACACAAGCGTTTCACCGAGAAAGTCGTGCATGTGAACAAAATTTAAGGAATTTTGACGAGATCATTTACAAGTACGTACCAAACTGATATGAGAACGAAACCGATAATCAACAGCCATGTCACGGACAAGTCAAATCCCAACAGCTCCATGATATTTTGACCACAAATTCCCACAAACTACTGCTCGATCAACTTAACTACTCAGATCATACAATGCACCCGTACTCTGACGTCCCTGGTTTATATAGGCTGACAAACAGAACCAGCTCGAGGACACACGAGCACAGGTGGTAGAATCCATTTACTCAAAAGGGGTGTTCAGAGTTATGTTCACCCTGCCTGGTACAATGGACAGTGACATCATGTGTATTTGCAGAGTGATAACTATAGCGTGCAAACGGAATTACCTCATTTTAGCCTCCGATTTCGCGATGCGATTCGAGCTTGCTTGTTGATATCCACCATCCGTTCCATAAAAGGAGCCTGAATAACATTCAAATCACCAAACTGATGCAATAGTGCACGGTGTTTCTGAAAGCTGATGGGCAAACAAAATATGTTTAGCGAGAAGCTAAAATGACCAAACATGGTAAAACTAGTATACACAGTGCGTGACTAGTACATTATTTTTTGTCAGTCTTTCGTTGCATAAGTCGTAACTCTCAACATAAGCCTTAATAGAATCCGCTCATAAGTCAGACGCCCCATTGGTCCGACTCCTCATAAGTCCGAAATTATTAGGCGTGGGACTCAGTTATGAGGCATACATTTTATTTATTCCGCCTCATAAGTCCGACGCCTCATAGCTTCGACACCTCATTGTCGGACTTATGAGGCGTCAGACAATATGAGGTGTAGGACCTATGAGGCGGAATTTTAAATGTATGCCTCATAAGTCCGACACCTCATCAGTCCGAAATGAATTTTTCTGAGAATTTTTGAGGATTTGTATGATTTAAATACATTTAAAACAAATTTCTTGGCATGTAACTATGACTTACAACTCCTTTGTAGCAGTAAAAGGGGAGAAATTTCAACATAGTTTTAATGCCAATGATACTTTTCATATTCATGAGCCAAAACGTGATGTCATTCAAGGCAGAACAGTAGTGTATCCATAGCTTTGAGTACAAATATATATATCAAACTTTTCTTCATTTTTTGGAGTAAGTTCCACTTTTTACTCGTTTATCATGTTAAACAGTTTGTTTGGACAATAGTAGTGGCCAATATTTCTTCAAAACTTTCTTTTGTGGGTAAGTTTGAAGGACATATTTTTGTACTGTTCATTATGCACTTTTGACAAGGAGTACCTTGTGTGACAAAAGCAAAATAGCGCCCTCTTGCATGTATTGATGAAAGGATTTGCTAATAATAGAAAAACTACCACATTCCTGTCACTTCCAATGAAAACAAGTATTAAGATCTGGTATGTATCGTTGCAACACATAGTAATGTGCATGAAAACAAGATGAAAACATCCTGGTTAGACGCGAGAGCTATACCGACAAATAAACCTTGTGACATCATTGCCTTGCTCATAAATACGTATACAGAATACATTAGTAAAAACCGAAAGACCCTGGCAACCCTTAAAGTGACAAAATACCAATTCTTCAAATTAACGGATTCCAGAAAAGTTATGCTGCGCTGGCCATGGAACTTTTGAAGGACGTGTACAGCAATTTAACAATCGATCGACTTTCCTTGCTCCCATAACGAAGTCCCATAACTCCCATAACTTTCCGAAGCATTTCGTCACTGTGAAAATCTAAAAGGAATGTTGAACTTGAGATCATTTAGAAGAACGTACCAAACTGCTACGAAAACGAGACCAATGACCAGCAGCCAAGTCACTGACAAGTCAAATCCTAACAGCTCCATTATGTTTTTGACCACAAATTCATGCAAACGTTCCGCCCGGTGGCGTAGCCACCGGGGGGGGGGGTGGGGGGGGGCGACCGCCCCCCATGAAACCTTGTCGCCCCCCCCCCCAGTCGCCCCCCCCCCCCAGTCGCCCCCCCCCCACCCCCCACTGAGATTTTGAGTTTCTAAAAAAAATATCATTGATCTACATGACGCCATGGGCGTCAATCCTGGGGGGGGGGGACAGGGGACATGTCCCCCCCCCCCCCCCCCCCACTTTTTGAAGGATGGGGGACACAATATCAAATTCCCCCCCCCCCAGATTTTTGAACTCGTGTCTCATTTACAGGGCCCTATTATGTACTACAATGTATCTTTTGCTTAGAAAATATTGGTTAAAGTGGTCAGAAATTGCCTCACATAGCACCACAGAGCATTTAGAATCCAAAATTTGTCGGGGCCCTTAAGCGGGCCTAAAGCTCAGAATTCTGGTAGCTGATTCAATGACTCCAACCTCGAAAATAATGTTTAAAAAATTTTCTTATGCCTTTAGCTGAGAAAACCTCGAAAATTATGTTAAATTATTATCTTTTGCGCTAAGATAATTATTGGTTAAAGTGGTAAGAAATTGCCTCAGATCACACCACAGAGCATCGAAAATCCATATACCGATACCGATAGCTGATTCAATGACTCCAACCTCGAAAACGATGTTCAAATAATTATCTTTTACTAAGAAAATGTTAGTTAAAGCATGGAGGAAAGTGGTAAGAAATTGCTTCAGATCACACCACAGAACAATTTTTTTCGGGGCCCTTAAGCGGGTGTGACAGGTAATTCTGTCCCCCTGGTAAATGTGTCCCCCCGGTAAATGTGACCCGGTAAATGTGTCCGGGGGGGGACACTTTTACCTAGGTAAATTTGTCCCCCTCCAGGTAAAAATGTCCCCTGCCCAACGGTGAAAGTGTCCCCCTGGTAAATGTGTCCTCATGCAGTATGTACTGAGAGCAGCAGCGTGTCGCACGCGCCAGTACATGCTGCAAGATTTGACGCAGTGATTATAACATGTGTACATGTACTTATTCGTCTCCCTCTACAATGGAAATTCGTCCAATAGGAAATTTCGTTACGCGCTGTGATGGGAACACAGACCAATCCAAGGAGACGTTGTATCATACTATCAATGAGACAAGGGCCATCGCCATGCATCGCCGCTGTGTTGACCTATCGCGGCAGAACCGCGATAGACTTCACCGTACTCCAAATCGAAACATTGTGTTCACGTATCATCTAATTGACTAAATTAAATATTTTTTATATTCATGAAGGGCAGACTAAAAGTCCAAAATGTATACCTTGTAGAGTGAATTGAATTCATCAAAACAATAACCTTCCGGGTTTCAAAAGAGGGGGACAAAAAAACCTGGGGGACAGAATTACCTGGAGGGGGACAGAATTACCTGGAGGGGGACAGAATTAACGGGCCAGGGAGGACACTTTTACCTAGGTAATTCTGTCCCCCCGGACACTTTTACCGGGGGACAGAATTACCTTCCACACCGGTACGGTGGTTTGGAGGTCGCAGGTTCAAATCTCGCTGCAGTCAGTTTGCTTAGGCAACTTGAACAATAATGATACTAAAATGGAACTTATTGCAGTGGGAAGTCTTCTGACCACAAAATCTGAAGTTACTGTGTACAATCTCTGGAACAACTGGCAATTGCCTTAACACAAATATTGTCAAATTAATATGCCAGACTAGCAAAACTGCATGACTCACTATGCGCAGTGACTGTGTACATAGTCCTGCTGCATGCAGTTATTAGTTCAATGAATAAACCATGTAATCTGTCTATGGATAAACCAACACAAATAACGCAACGACAAAAGTTTGAATACTACTGATAGCTTCAGTCAACAAAACGTGCCAGTCCCGAGCACCATATTTGGTCACGCTTTCTCTCCATATTAAGACCGGTCCTTATTGGGTTGCCAATGATGCAATGCGACTTTTGATGAGCCAAAAATTACCAAATAAAGTTGAAAATGGACGGCTTTTTGAACAAGCCTCCAGAAGTTTCTTGCGCATGCGCAATTTTGTAGTCGGGTCAATCACAAATCTAGTCACAGGCTGCAAACCACAAGTTCATTCACAAGTCCGGTCAAAAGTAACAATAACAAAGGAATATCTTAGTTACGGTTAATTTGAGAAGCTTGTGACTTGACTTGAGGCTGATGGGGACTTTTTGAGGACTTTGCCATGCCGCGGTGGGCAAGGAAAACAGAAAGAGGGCAGCCACCAGGAAGAGTTAGGGCCTAAAGGATCAGAGGTCACGATAAAATTAATAGGATTTCGTAAGTGTTTAAAGTTCACATGAAATAAAATCTGACGAAAAATGATGCATTGGTTACACATATGTACACTGTGTACAAATGTGCTCTTCCTGGAAGTGAATCATCGTTTTACCATGTTTGGTCAACTTATATGCTTCTAAATAAACTTGTTTGCCTATCAGCTTTCAGGGAAACCAGTATTGCATCAGTCTGGTGAATTTATGAAAGATTTGTGAGGCTCCTTTTATGGAACAGATTGTCGGGTACACATTCTCCACAGCAGCCCTTGGGCAGTCCGAAAGGCGGGCTCGAATCAGCACACGCCCTCCACAACTTCACAGCACGGCATGCAGGTGGTGAATCGGAAGCCCGGCAGTTCCATACATTAACTTCGTGTGAATCACTATGAAACGATGGGGGATTCTCTGCATTTATTCACAAAGGAAAATTATGTTGATTTGGACGAAAGACACATTTTGAATAAAAGAAATTTATAAGCCGTTTTATTTATCAAGTCTTACGGACCATTGTTGTCTTAATGGTCTTATCATAATTGTTTTGTAATCGTCTTGCAAAGACAAATGTGATTTTAGAGTACAAACGTAATTTTAGAGTTCAATGCACGGATAAGAAGATGAAGTATGGCTGATGCAATTTTTGGCTTATGCAATTTTCGACTGATGTAATACTCAACCGTGTTCCTGTAAGCTGATGGGCAAACAAACAGGCATGCAACTTGTAAGTCACAAAAAAAGAGGAAATTCAAATCTCTCCAAGACCTTGTACAGTGTTTTTCTATTTTCAATGACACACATGGGAAGTAAAAAAGGAGGAGATCAGCTGATCCGAGGAAAAGTTGCATGCCTGAAACATAATGGTTATTGAGCACCTCAATATGGTGTACTATAAAGGACACCTATCTGTTATCGTCGTGTCGTGTGTGTGGGAGCTCCATCGTGCCTGTGAGCAGGTCCGTCGTGCCTGTGAGCAGGTCCGTCGTGCGTGTGGGGAGGTCCGTCGTGTTTGTGAGCAGACCGTCGTGCGTGTGAGTAAAACCGTCGTGCTTGTGAGCAGGTCCGTCGTGTTTGTGAGCAGACCGTCGTGCGTGTGAGTAAAACCGTCGTGCCTGTGAGCAGGTCCGTCGTGTTTGTGAGCAGACCTTCGTGCGTGTGAGTAAAACCGTCGTGCCTGTGAGCAGGTCCGTCGTGCCTGTGAGCAGGTCCGTCGTGCCTGTGAGCAGGTCCGTCGTGTTTGTGAGCAGACCGTCGTGCGTGTGAGTAAAACCGTCGTGCCTGTGAGCAGGTCCGTCGTGTTTGTGAGCAGACCGTCGTGCGTGTGGGGAGCTCCGTCGTGCCTGTGAGCAGGTCCGTCGTGTTTGTGAGCAGACCGTCGTGCGTGTGAGTAAAACCGTCGTGCCTGTGAGCAGGTCCGTCGTGCGTGTGGGGAGGTCCGTCGTGTTTGTGAGTAAAACCGTCGTGCGTGTGAGTAAAGCCGTCGTGTTTGTGAGTAAAACCGTCGTGCGTGTGAGTAAAACCGTCGTGCCTGTGAGCAGGTCCGTCGTGCGTGTGGGGAGGTCCGTCGTGTTTGTGAGTAAAACCGTCGTGCGTGTGAGTAAAGCCGTCGTGTTTGTGAGTAAAACCGTCGTGCGTGTGAGTAAAACCGTCGTGTTTGTGAGTAAAACCGTCGTGCGTGTGAGTAAAACCGTCGTGCGTGTGAGTAAAACCGTCGTGTTTGTGAGTTAAACCGTCGTGCCTGTGAGTAAAACCGTCGTGCCTGTGAGTAAAACCATTGTGTTTGTGAGTAAAACCGTCGTGCGTGTGAGTAAAGCCGTCGTGCCTATGAGGCGCCATGTGTAAATAAAGTATTTAACAAAATTATTTATATATAATTCATTATTTATTATATAATTCAGTTTTCCGGACAATTATATGTAAATAATTGTTTGGCAGTTTGCATTATATGTAAATAAATTTATTTGCCACTGCATTATTTATATATATAATTTTTTTTGCCACCTTATTATTTTTATATAATTTTATGCAAACGTATTACTTATATATAATTTATTTGCAAACTTATTATTTATATATAATTTATTTGGTACCTCATTATTTATATATATTTTTTTGCACGCTTTAATTATTTATTATATGATTTATTTGGCACCTTATTATTTAAATATAATTTTTTGCACACTTTATTTATTTATATATTATGCATTATTTATTATATAATTCATTATTTATTGTATAATGCATTATTTATATATAATGCATTATTTTATTTTATCAGTACGAGATAAGATGCATCATGCGGCACAGACACACACTGTTGATCAGTCACATAATTTTCTTCAATCAGCTGGTTGTTGCCATGGGGTACATGTGCGCGGTAAACAGTAGCCTACTCGGTGGGCGCGGCCAGGGAACACCTGGCCGCCCCAATTATTTGCGGACGTGACATATTGAGGTTAGAGAAATTGTTCATATCGCTAAAATGATATGGATCGCGCGCCCAAAGGGGTAAAAGAAGCAATATTGATACAGTGTATTAAGTCAAGTTCATTAATTAGGCTCAGAAAGTTCACTTCGGCTTCGCTTTTCGAAGCCGTTAAACTTGGAAAATAAACCCACCACCTCCCAGTGTTGGAGCAAAGGCTTTGACCCTCAAGGCCAAGGCCGAGGCTTTGACCCTCAAGGCCAAGGCCAAGGTTTAGACCCTCAAGCCTTGAGGCCAAGGCCAAGGCTTAACCCTCAAGGCCAAGGCCAAGGCCCTGTTTTATGAAATGACCACTGATATAGAACTAATTATAGTCACATGAGTGACACATCATCACGCGAGGGCGGATCCAAAACACAATTTTTTGGGGGGGCAAAGAAAATTTTGGTCCCCCCCCCAAAAAAAAAATGGGTCAAAAAATTGGATTCGAGGTGCTCTGTGGTGCGATCTGAGGCGATTTCTGACCACTTTAACCAATGTTTTTTTGAGGAAAAGATGGTGGTGTACTCATTGCCTGCCTTTATTACGACGTCACATAAAAAAAAGGGTTTCGGGTTGTTTTTGGGTTTTTTTTTGGGGGGGGGGGGCATGGCCCCTTTTGGCCCCCCTGGATCCGCCCTTATCATCACGAATTGCTCGTTACGAAGAACAACATTCCTTTAATTGCAATCAACATGCTCGCATAAGCCTACACGTTTTATGACTACACTGTATCTATTAAAGTATAAATTCAGGTCTTCAATATGGTTTAACTAAACAAAATAATGATTTACTTCTACATTGACACACAATTCTCCCAAGTGTAACAAAAGGGGGATCCAAGAAAATGATTTGGGAAATTTTTATTTGCTGGCCCAACATGGTCTGAAATATCAGCATTATCTAAAACAGATACATGCAAATCTTTAGCACTTATCAGGGAGACATATACAACCAATCAGATCTATTCCATAGTTATATGCAATTAAAGTGATCATCTCATTAGCCCAACAAGTGTACGGAATATTTTTGCAGCAAATCTACTACAATGGTAACAAAATGTGATGCTACAAAAGTGGAAGTGTGTCCAACACACAAATCTATAGGGTGCTTCCCTCCTCCATGGTGATACGATTAAAATGGTAAGAGCAAAATTTCGCACAGATTTATCTGGAAAATTCAAAAATCTATGGGCCTTGAAAAGCCTTGACTCAAAGGCCCTGAACCCTCAAGGCCAAGGCCAAGGCTTTTGCCCTCAAGCCTCGAGGCCAAGGCCAAGGCCCTAAAATCCAGTCTTAAGGCAGCCTTAAGGCCAAGGCCCAGCATCAAGGCACTACATCACTGCCACCTCCCCTTCGCCTCCAACATTAAGAAATTAATTAATGGCGAGAAGTTACTGGGTACGACGGGCAGTGCCTCAATTCAAAAGAAATAAATAGTTCTTTAGTAAGATTTTGAATTTTGACAAATTTTCACAAGTTCGTTTTAATCTTTCGAAACACTAAGCCTAGCACCTCTAGTACTAGTGGGGCTTATTCCAACCTTATTTTCCAACGGTGGGAAAAAAATCGGCGTGCCTTTTTTCAAGTTTATTCTTAAGAAATTTTGGCATTTTTCAAGTTTATTCTTAAGTAATTTAGGCATATTATCAATTCAAGTCACGTGACAAATAACACTGTGACTAACATTAATTTGTTCTGATGGGGTTAGTATCCAACCGTAGTTTCTAGCGGTGGATATATTCGCAGTGAATGATTGGCAAACGTGCCAAGATTTGGGCCCAGTGATGCCAAACATGGCAAGGATTTGGGGCAAACGTACGTGCCCCCGTTTTTTTTTCTGGCCAAAGTGCCCAAACTGTTTGGGTTAATAACATTTGAATAAAACAAAATAAAATAGCGGCTCGTAAAAACTATGCCAAAAAGGCAAACTTTTGTTCCAAGGTGTTTTTGTGTGTGGTTTGAGAATAATTATTATATAATGCATTATATAATAAATAATAAAAGTGTGCAAAAAATATATCTAAATAATAAGTTACCAAATAAATTATATAATAAATAATTAAAGTGTGTTAAAATTATATATAAATAATGAGGTACCAAATAAATTATATATAAATAAATAAAGTGCACAAAAATTATATATAAATGAAAAAGGTTGCAAATAAATTAAAAATAAATAAAAAAAGTGTGCAAAAATTATATATAAATAATAAGTTTGCAAATAAAGAATATATAAATAATTCTAGTTTGCAAAAAAAATTATATATATAAATATTGCAGTGGCAAATAAATTTATTTACATATAATGCAAACTGTCAAACAATTATTTACATATAATTGTCCGAAAAACTGAATTATATAATAAATAATGAATTATATATAAATAATTTTGTTAAATAATTTATTTACACATGGCGCCTCATAGGCACGACGGCTTTACTCACACGCACGACGGTTTTACTCACAAACACGACGGTTTTACTCACAGGCACGACGGTTTTACTCACAGGCACGACGGTTTTACTCACAAACACGACGGTTTTACTCACACGTACGACGGTTTTACTCACAAACACGACGGCTTTACTCACACGCACGACGGTTTTACTCACAGGCACGACGGACCTCCCCACACGCACGACGGACCTGCTCACAGGCACGACGGTTTTACTCACACGCACGACGGTCTGCTCACAAACACGACGGCTTTACTCACACGCACGACGGTTTTACTCACACGCACGACGGTCTGCTCACAAACACGACGGACCTGCTCACAAACACGACGGACCTGCTCACAGGCACGACGGACCTGCTCACAGGCACGACGGTTTTACTCACACGCACAACGGTCTGCTCACAAACACGACGGACCTGCTCACAGGCACGACGGTTTTACTCACACGCACGACGGTCAGCTCACAAACTCGACGGACCTGCTCACAGGCACGACGGAGCTCCCCACACGCACGACGGCCTGCTCACAAACACGACGGTTTTACTCACACGCACGACGGTCTGCTCACAAACACGACGGGCCTGCTCACAGGCACGACGGTTTTACTCACACGCACGGCGCTCTGCTCACAAACACGACGGGCCTGCTCACAGGCACGACGGTTTTACTCACACGCACGACGGTCTGCTCACAGGCACGACGGACCTGCTCACAGGCACGACGGACCTGCTCACAGGCACGACGGACCTGCTCACAGGCACGACGGAGCTCCCCACACGCACGACGATAACAGATAGGTGTCCTTTATAGTACACCATACCTCAATTGACCATTATGTTTAAACATTATTATTTATGTGTAAGTACACAGTGTGTGACCAGTGCATAGTTTATTGTCAGATTCCGTTGCAATTGAACTTTTAGCAATTATCGTGGCCTCTAACCCTTAACTCATAATCTCTACTAAAATCACAACGGGGATGTTAAAAGACACCTGTCGAACAGTGTAAATATAAACATTATACAAATATAAGTAATGTAAAGATCAGTAAAACATAAAGCTACATAATTTAATTTCCACAACGGTGCTCAATGCCGATGAATACAGTCAGCAACACTGATGTATTGTAACAATCATACAAAGTTTAAAAAAAAAAAACAATTCGACACACAATTTATTTTATCAAAGTGCTGAAATTCATGCCGACTCGAATAAGTTATAAATTTGTACTAAAAAATAGTTTTCATCAAAATAAATCCGAGATGGAATAGAAATGAAACCCATATCTCAACCCTTATAGCTACACCGCTTTGTATATATCTATTCCAGCAAGTTAAAGGCATTTTAAACTAAACTACTTTGGGGGGGGGGTGAAATGTCATATTTGACACGAATTTTGTTTTGGTTTCCCTACAAACATGATTCCAAAACAGATACCGCAATCTGTAAATACAGATGTATTTTATAATAAATCAATAGCTAAAAAACTCATAAAAGGCATTAAAGTAAATGACGACCAAGAAATATTTTTACCAACCAGTTCTATGTACATGTAGCTTTTTACGAGCAAAATACATGGAACAGTATAGAGCTTCAAAATTAACTTGCTGCTATTAATTCCACAAAAGTGGCACACATGCCTAACCCTAACATTTTGCCAAATGAGGGATGGATGAAAACATAATGACATTATAACATGAACGTCTTTAAATCATCTTAAGGCAGAGATCAGAGAGAAGTCTCTGTTTCTATCATCCGTGGTTGCTGCCTAGTTTCTTGGGACTGCACTGAGCTTCAGACTCTTCGGAGCAAGGAAGCCACTCTTACCGAGCTTGGGTGGGATCTGAAGAAAAAGAAAAATCACAAATTCTTCAATATTTCTTCCCTTAGATATAATTTCAAGTTAACGATATTGCTGATTATCTTTAAGATCGTTTTTGGTTTGTGTCTATTTCTCACAATGCTTGTCGCCATCTTGGACCAAGCTACCGCGGTCACCTGACCATAAGTCGTGATCCAATTGGTCAATGCGTTCAGTTTTATTGACAGGCAAGAAGAGTCCATTATAATTTGGGATATTCTGATACTTTTGAAAATTCTTCTTAAGGTTCTAAATCACGAGAAAGAAGGGTCAAATTCCACCAAAAAATATGTTCGAAAGACAGATGCAAGTGTTTGGAGTTGGGAGTTTTTTCCATACAAACGGTGTTAAGATGCCCAAGAAAAGACTAAATTTTTCATGCATTTTGGATGGCATGTTCGGACCTTTCTTCTACAAACAATGCAGAGCATTGTGTTCGCATCCACGTCTTTGCTGGTTATCGGTCAAAATGGAGGAGTTGAGTTCTTCTTTGAAGCACTGTGTTCTTACCTCGGTTTCTGAGCAGACATCGAAGCGATACTGCTGCAGTACACGGACCAGCGCCATTTTGGATTCCAGCAAGGCAAAGCGCATACCGATGCAGTTACGAGGACCGAAGCCGAACGGCATGTAGGTGCACGGTTTGATGGATGCCTTGTTCTCAGGGCTGAACCTTTGAAGAAAAAGCAATAAAGGTTTCAAAAACTCAAAAAGTGTGTTTGCAAAAGTGGAAACGTTTTTTCTTAGTAGCATAACGATTGCTTTTGGCTCTATTATTTTGAATAATATCATCTGATACACAGGAACGACGTTGAAAAAAAAGTTGAATTTGAAATCAAATACCTTAAGACATTTTACCTTTCTGGGTCAAATTTAGTCGGATTTGTCCAGAATTCCTCATCGTAATGTAAGCTCCAGATACAAACGAACACGTTTACACCCTTTTCGATGGTAAGACCTTCGTAGGTAATTGTCTCATTGCACATACGATCAAATCTGTAAAAGATGAATCATGAGTAAAATATTAAACCTTTTTACAGATAGCTTTCAAAATAAAAATTCGTAGTCAAAGTCAGTTCACGATTGAAGTGTTCCTTACATGACTGCTGGGGGATACATGCGCAGTGATTCATTGATCACCATGTCCAGGTACTCCATCTTGGCGATGACGTCATAGCCGAGGTTGTCACGAGTGGGAGCGAGGTTGTCAATCTCAGCGTGCAGTTTCTCTTGCGCGTCTTGGTTGGTAGCCAGCAGGTAGGCAGTGAAGCTCAGCAGCGCGTTGGTAGTCTCGTAACCAGCCAGAAAAAAAGTGATAGCCTGAGGTTATAATAAACAATCATGTTCAAATGAGAATTCAGAAGTCAAATCCATACCCAAGTGAGAATTCAAGAGTCAACTTCTGCCCAAGTACGAATTCAAGAGTCAAATTTGACCGAGTGTGAGTTGAAAATAGAAATTGGGTCGAATCAGCAATTGAATATTTTGAATGGTAAAAACTTGTTTTCTTTTGCTTTTCAGATATTGTTTTGCCCATTGCTTTCTATACCTCTCACTTGATCAAAAGTTAACTTTCGAAGAAGATATTAGTCTCTTTGGTACAAAATCTGTTAACCTTCTTGTCATTCTGATGATGATTCTGTTTATGTAATAGACATTTTCACAAGCACGATTTGTGTTGTTCTTTCGTGGTCGCAAATAAGAGAATGACTTGATTTCTTTTTTTTAAGTACTTTCCAAATACACGCATCATTTACTGAAAACCAAGGAAAGCACATTTCCATAACATTATACAAATCACAAGAAATCAAGGATGCTAGGTGACTCTACGAATCCATGTCCTCAATTTCATCATTGTTTACTTCTCTTTCTTTTTTCTAATTTTGACACCCCATAATTATTACTTTTTGTCTTTCCTCCGAGTTCCATTAACACCCACCTGTGCCATGACGTCCACTGTCGACAGTGGTCTGCGATGGGCGGCGCCCTTGTTCTGACCGTTCCCTGCGGTGGGCGTGTCTTCCTCCTCGTGTTCCTCGTCCTCGTGGGCGTTCAGCATCAGCTGCAACAGATCGATGCGCTGCAAAAAGAAGAACATCGATAAAGGCATATAACTGTCACAACAAGGGTGTTTTGCGACCAACTAACTATTCCACAGACATAAGTCAAATCAAATTCAATCCCGAATCTTGTCGAATCAAATCTAACCTTTGACGCATCCTGACCCTCCTGTTTGCGCATGTTGCACGCGGCCTCCGTGACGTTCATGAAAAATTTGATAACTTCCTGGTCGAACAGGTCGAATTTGAGATAAGCAAAGATGGGCGACAGAGAGGGGAAGGCGGCTGAAAAAAAACATTTTGTCACAAAAAAACCAGGTTCATACCTAATTATAGTCTCTCTTATATACCGGACAATAATAAAAGTGATGGATAGGTTTCAACCTAAGGCAGCTGATTTATTATCATTTCATTAAAAAAAAATCATCAAAATAAAAAACAGTTCACAACGTTTTGGAAGCAATGGCACTTACACTAGAAAGAATAATTACGCATTGCCAAAATTGTATTTATTTCTGATTCACTAATTCATCTATTTACAAAAATGTTGATGCTTTTATAATTTAATAAAATGGTCTTTAAAAAAATGTACAAGTGTATTCAATAAATGGCGGTTACTATTGGCTTGTTTTAATATTTAATCTATTTTTGATTTCAAAAGTGCGGTTTCAATTTAAATTGCCTCCCGAAGAATCCAACTCACAGACGATTAAGAAAGCAGGATTGAACAGGCTGAAATCGAAGACCTTCTTCGCGTTCTTGACGAATGGATCATCCTTGTTCTGCTGGGAGTCAACTTTGAGGCCGAATCCACACCTTGCAATGGCGTCCATGGTGAAACCACCAAACAAGCTAAAGATAAACAAAACAGGGTGAATGGGGGCGCTGTACTTAACAAACGCCATATTGGGGGTAGCAACAGACGTGAACCTTGGGTTAATGAAGTAGGTTTCAATGATGCTATTTTGCAATTCCATTTCCAAACATTACAATCTTCCATTTTTAAATTGAAATAAAGTTACGAGCTCTTTTTCAATACGATATTTTTACTGTTCAAAACGGAATAATGGGGGTGGTTACTGCGCCTTATTCGCCCAAAAATGATGGTCAATTTTCCAAACAATAATTGACATTAGATTCCTGGCGCTTTGGAAGAGTTTTACACACTAAAATATGTTTTTCAGTTGTTCATTAACAAAGCTTTTTTAGAGCTTTCAAAGATTCAGTACGAAAATAAGTCAACTATTAACTCTAGAGGACTTGAACCTACGACCGATCGATTAAAGTACAGGCGTCTTAAACACTCCACCAGTTTTCTTGTCCGATTTCAAACTCCAACACAGCAGCGAGTACAACCAAGGACCTAATAAACATCGTCTTAAAGTAAAGAAATTTTTTCACAATTTCCAAATGTTTTTTTTTTATGATAGAAAAATATCACATGATTGTTTCGCTTGTATCTTACACTCTGCATTTGGCGGCTTTTCCTCCCTCCTGGGCCTTGCTGAAACTTGCCACCAAGGTATCACAACATTCATTGATCGTCTCCGACATCTGCAAGGATTTCATTCAAAGACAACTTACAATAACATTGCCTGAAGGTCTCAATCAAACAAAGGTTGAGTCAGAAAGAAAGTAACCTAACGAAAAAAAAATATTTTAAAAATATGTGGCTCGCACTATTTAGTACAAAAAGAAAAATAGGGATAAAATGCATATTACTGACTACAGTATCTGTGAGAAGTTCAAGTAGTTTGTCTATTTTAATACAATCATCACAAAATTCAGCTCTCCACCGATGATCATTTACCGTTCAAGTACAATGAAACAAGGGCGTTTTGCTGCCTTTATGAATGAAGACATTTTGCACAGGGAAAAAAACCCGAAAAATCACTGTTATTATTTCAAAAACAATTTCTCATATTCAAAACACGAAATCTAACAAAACTTAATTAATTATAAATCTCATTTGTATCTGAATGCCTGTTCGATGTAATGTCTGGTCCTCACTCAACTCAATAGCTTCAAACTTAATTCAATGGGCAGCTGTAAAAAAAAAATTTAAAAATGGGCTCTTTTATAAAATACGCATAACTTCTCACAACATGGACCAATCTCAGTAATTCTTTTCTCTCTTTTTTTTCAAACGAGTGGAAGAAAATGTTCGTTTAGTAAATGCTTCGTGTCAAATTCATTACTTTTCAGGGGAAACATCATTTATCCAGGTCACTTTCTTTTTGACTCACCCTGTATAAAGGACATTCTATAAATGTGGGGGCCAGTCTTTCCCTGCCCCCGTTACATCTAAAATCTAAGATTTTTTACTTCTGATGTACTCCTTAATCCACCAAGACTGACAATGAATAGCATATTGACAATGAATGATACTTGAATGGGAAGTTGCGAAGTACCAAGGTAACAGGGACAGAAAAAAGGTCACACTTTGGACCCTTAGTTTACAGAATGACACATATTCGCTGTGAAACTGCATGGAGACTAGACGATTTAGAGTGAAAACTAAAAGTCAGTCTTTCATTTGGGATTGAAATACTCTCCATAAAAACGATCCAGTGGAAACTCGATTTAACGAACACTCAAAAAAGAATGATCCCTACTTTCAGACGATGGAAGTGAATTTTCACTAGAATTTTGTGCATTTCACTATTTGGAAACAAAAGAGCAGCAAAGTAAAAAGCAAACAAACAACACAAAAAAACCCTCGTTCTACTTTAAATTTGACAGTCTGTTGATTCTTTTGAATACTCTTTCACAAAATCTTACCAGTCTCATTTTGGAGGCACTGAATGACGGAGTGATGACGTTGCGTATCTCTTTCCATTCTTCGTTCATAAGCCGACTCAAGCCTCTGTTCAAGGGCTTTTGCCCGAGTGGGGATTTCTGCCCAAAACAGAACGGAAAACACAAATATTCGAAAGAAACGTAAAATACCAGCAACAGTGTGATAAACATTGGGGAAAGGAAGGCGTGAATTGATTTGATTCGGATGAAAAGTTTTAAATTCTTACCCTCCTGTTGTAGAAACTGGAGAAATTCTTGACCAAGATATTCTTCAAAATGTCAGGATCATTGATAATCAGAACTGGACGTCGGAAATCATACATCCTGGAATAAATAGAATAGAAGTATTATCAATTAAATAGAATAGAATCGATAAATTGTAAAAGAAAAAACTAAATAAATTAGTAGAAATACAATACGTCAAATGTTACATTCGCGTTTATTTTACGTACCCGACGACTCTGCCATGCTTTTTTACGTACTCGGTTAAAGTGTGTTGGACTCCCTGTGAACACAAAAAAAATAATAAGGAAATGTCTCTGTAATGCTTTTAAAAATAAATGTTTTGCCAATATTCCTGAACATTAGTTGAAAAGTCTACCAACGTTTGTTGTTGAACGGCCAAGAAGGTACTGCACGCCACAAAACAGTCATCGGGAGTATGCAGGACCGTTTCGTAGTTAGAAACTACGTTTAAAATTTTTCGTATTAAGAAACAAGTTTGTTTGCGGTATTTACTGACAATCACTCGTTTGTTAATATCAGGGGAATTTTCTTCCGGAAAAATCAATTGATGCTCACCAACTGACAAACCATACAGAAAATATGAACCTTTTTTATCAGCAAAACATGGAAAATCTTACATGACGCAATTGCAGTATGTTTCCAAAGAAAGGAATGTAGTCCGCTACAGGAATACCACACCTCTGGAAATACTGGTGACACCACCAATCATACCTGAAAATCAAGTAGGGAAAGAGTCACAAAATGCTTCCAATTCTCAGATGTTGTTCATAGTTCATAGCAACGATTCCGTGAAATATAAAGGTTTTCTCAGCCTATTTTACCAAGTTTTCATTCAATTTAACACCTGCTCATTAAGTTCAGATTAAAATTGATAGATCACGCAGATCGTCATTCGACCCGCAAAAAAAATATTTCAATTTCACTATATACCGAACATTCTATCGTTTCTTAGCTTCACTCGTCCCTGTAAAAGATGCGTTCAAATTAAAAGTGTCGTATTGTTCATTCAATTTCGTCTGAAGTAGCAGTAAGGGGTTGATCGGGCATTCATTTTCATTACTAGGCAAACATATTCCACAATATTATTGTTCAACCATCTTTTAAGAAATTCCCCCATGCTCTTTCTCAAAGTTCGGGGAGGGGGTGGTTCGTACCATCTTTTGATATAGATAGCACTGTTAAAAGCGAACAATCATGGACATTTTCGCTCTTCATCCCTGCAAATTTCCCGAAGGACGTACGATTTTTCCGAAAGGCCGATTATGCCGTCCCGATTTCGCTCTTATCAGCGTCCCGTTTACGCTTTTAAAATGTCTAGCCCGTTGCAATCTGCCACTCTGCACTTCCCAACCCCTGATTACGCCACTGTGTCTTGCTCGTCAAGAGATCGATGGGTGAATCAGCGATAAATACAAACAATACAATTCAGAAAAGTTAAAGGGTTTGTTGAAAGTTAAAACAAGTACAGAAAAGACAACAGTGAGAAAGAAATTCCTTTTAATAGCCCTTTTTATTTCATTATTTCGTGACATCATCCCTTCATATCAGTTAATTTGTTACATTATAAGTTTTATAGATACAAAGATTTTGAAAAATTGGACCTCAGAAGAAAATGAAATTAAAAATCAATTAAAACATCTTATTAATTTGAATGACCAAACAATGAAAATGACTGCCCATAAGCGAGTAAGAAAAGAAAAACGTGGTCATATGTCATATGCCCAGTGACGTTCGCTAATCTGAATGCATCAACCGTTAAAAGATGTCAAAAACAATGTAAGAATGATGCAAATTAAGTATTGAGTCCACCAAAACGAAATAGAATGCCCCAAAACGAAAACGAGCATTAGCAACAACATCTTGAGTGCCCCAAAATTTGAAATTGAATGCCTCAACAATGAAAAAGAAACCCCAATTTGATCCGATGTGTCAAAATCACGCGAAATATGCCAATAATGAAAATGATCGGAAAAATTCGGAACTATGGCCGGGAAAACCTACATGTATATTACGTATCCAATATTACATCCCCTCCTCCTGTTAAAAAAAGGCCAAGACCTTAAAAGACACACTTGGCAATTAAACAATTACCATATTGTTAACTGTCAAAGGTATGAATTTAAAAGTTGTAAAATCTGATATGAGAGTTCGGTATGTTACACCGGCCTACGTTGGCAAGACCAAGTCTCACTCTAAATCCAAAATCAGCAAACATTTTACGGCACACACCGCCCCCGCACATTTTAAGCAGTTTGTCAAGTGCAGTGGAAGGGTTGCATGTACACTGTATTAAACTGTATTTTGGTGATAATGTGAATAACACATTTGGCTTAACTTGGCTATTATACATGTATAACGATAAGGTTGCTTCAAGTCATTGAGTTCCCAATTGAACGAAGGCCCGACAAACTTGACGACTCACCATAGGGTGCAGACCAGTAAATCGGTCCGAAATTGCCTGCGCCGGCCAAATCACGATTTGCATGCCCTCAAAATCTTCGGTATTTGAGCATGCTGTGGGCCATGAACTTGAGGGTTTGTAAAAAATATGGGTGGAAGCCGTGCACAGGACTGGGAGCTTGCAGTTCTGTGTAATTTTGATGTAATTTGGACCCTAAAAGCGCTCTATTTTGCAATGGAGTGTAGGCATCGTTTTTCAAAATGGCGATGGGCTTCAGGACTATTTTCAGGGGTGATCATCTTCAGATGGAAATTTCTCCTAAAAGTCATCAGTTGACCCCCAAAAATTGAAAAGAAAGTGAAAGATGATGAAATAAGCTTTAATTTGATGTGTGTCACGAACACCTTGGAGAGTTGTGAGTATTTTTCCCGAATTTTTGAAGTGGGAGCATTTACCATTGGGGTCTATGGAAGTTTATTTACTGGTCTGCTACCACCAGGAAACCCGAAACCAGCCTGAGGTTTGAGCGCTCATACTGCGCATGCTTATGGGTGTTCCAAACCTGGGCTTCGTCATCACTATAATTCTGTACCGAGAATAAACCATGACTATAGATTACATCACTGCCTATCTCATAAATACACGGTATACAGAATAAGTACAAACCAAAAGGCCACGCCAAACAATGACAAATTACCAATATTTCAAATTAACGGATTTCTATAACGTTGTGTTGCACCGGCCATAAAACTGTTCAAGACCGTATTGTAAACAAACAACAATCTATTGACATTCCTTAATTGCTCCATGCTCAAGTGCTCTCACCACAGAACGACTGAGGAATATACAGTGACACACAGCTTTTCACTGAGAAAGTAGTCACTGCATGTGAACAAAATTTAAGGAATTAAATCATTTAGAAGTACGTACCAAACTGCTATGAGAACGAAACCAATAATCAGCAGCCATGTCACAGACAAGTCAAATCCTAACAGCTCCATGATATTTTGACAACAAATTAAACTATACCGCTCGATCAACTTGACTACTAACTCAGATCATATAGTTAATGCACTCGAACCCTGTCCCTGGTTTATATAGGCCGAGAAAGGCAACACAAGCACAGGTGGTAGAATCCGTTTTACTCAAGAGGGGTGTTCAGGGTTATGTTCACCCTGCCTGGTACAATGGACATCAGTGACATCATGTGTATTTGCAGAGTGATAACACATAGCGTGCAACTAAATGACCTCATTTAGCCTCCGACTTCGCGATGCGATTAGAGCTTGCTTGCTGATATCCAACAATCCGTTCCATTAAAGGTGCCTGAATAATATTCAAATCACCAACGTGATGCAATAGTGCACGGTGTTTCTGAAAGCTGATGGGCAAAAATATATGTTTAGCGAGAAGCTCAAATGACCAAACATGGTAAAACTACACAGAACGTGACTAGTACCATGCTAGTACATTATTTTTTGTCAGTCTTTTGTTGCATAAAAATCGGAACTCTCAACAAAAAGCGTAAGTAAAATCCGATCAATACGGTACTCTCTGTACAACTACAAACGAATGATCTTGATCCGTAGTGTTCTTGTCTCCCCCCTCCCCCCCCCCCCCGGGGGATCCGCTAATAAGTCCGACGCCTCATAGGCCCGACGCCTCATAGGTCCGAAATTTCGGACTTATGAGGCGTCGGACCTCGGAGGCGTCGGACTTATGATGCCTACCCCCCTCCCCCTCTTTCTCTCTCTTTCTCTCTGTGATGTAGCCCACAGTATACAGCTACGCTACACGCCACGATAAACGTCCAGCTTATTGAAATGTCACTTACTGTGAAATTTGAGATAAACTTTTTGCTCTAGTAAGGCACTAGATGCCAAAACTCAAAGTGCATCACGTTAGGGGCAGCGCCACGTTTGGGTACATCAACAATATAAAGATATTAATGCCGTCAATTAAATATATGACTCCTCCCCTTTTAACATTCGCGATCGAAAAAGACAAAAATGGGTCGTTATGCTAGATAAATAAAACGACTTGAAAACTTCGTTGTCGAAAATTTGTCATTATTTTGACCAACTCAACATAATTTATTACTTGTGGAATAAATGCAGGGAATCCCCGCCTACGCCCTTCGGCAAGGCACACGAAGTAAAAGCAAACGACTATACCAAGAAATATTTCTACCAACCAATTATAATGCAATCAAAATATAGGTTTTCCCGGCCAAGTTAGCAGATTTGGCGACCAAATTGGCGACCAATCGCCCATTTTTGCACGAATTTGAATGCACGTTGAGATCAACATTCAAATACCTAAAAATACCAATCAATTTCACATTAGAAGCATGCGATTTCACATTTTAATCATGCAATTTCAACAATAGGGCATTCAAATTAAAGTTGCAAAAACGAGCATCCAAATTCGCCGAAGCTTCCAGCTGTGTAAGTTTGGTCATTCGGATTCACCATTAAGCAAGCATTATGTGAAAAGTAAGCAAAGTAATTCGAAATAGGTCCATGTCGTTCCGTCGTTTGTTAGAATAAGATGGAGTGCTATTGTTCCAATTTGGAAATAAAGATATAAAAACCTGTCTCCCACAAGACTCTGCCACTACTCTGATCACCATGCAAAATGTTAGATTGAAGCAGAAATATCAATATGCCAGCTCATGGGCATTACATGAGAATTTCAGTTGTAAACCGTAGTCGTTTGATGCCCAAGACTATCTTGAACTTGCAGACAATCTTGGCATAAAAAGTTATCTACTCCCAGGTCAATTGTAGCAACGTATCTTAGATCTGGCAGACGGGAAAACCTGCCAAGAGGAGGGGCCAGAAACTCAAAAAATGGACAACGACATGAAGCAGAAATAATGAAAAGACTCGCATCGTATACCTTCATTGACTTTTATTTTGAATGAAAAAGTGCTAAATAGAATGCGCGGAAATAAAAACGAAAACAAGAATCGCATGCAAATAACCCTAAACCAAACCTACTGCTAAATTGAGGATATGTTAAACATGCTAATGTCAGGTCGTAAAACGAATTTGAACGCCTGAAATTTAATACGGACCAAAAGAATGACTACAAGGCGCTACTTCGCTTCAAATTGGCCACTATCAAGATGAATTCGAATGCTATTTTTGCGAAATTGGCCGGAAAAAACCTATACATCGAAGCTAATTTTTATCTTCATCACATTATTAGCCTTGCAAAAACAAAATCGCAAACGAATAAAATAGGCCTTACTTGGGTTTGCATTAAGCATCGAAGTGTAAAGATCCAAATTAACTTGTTGCTATATTAATTCCACAAAAGTGGCACACATGCCTAGCTGGTCCTACAAATTTGCTAAAATGAGTGATTGCTTAAAACATAATGACACACAACATGAACGTCTTTAAATCCTCTTAAGGCAGAGATCATAGAAGAATTTGCTCTTCTGTCATCCGCGGTTGCTGCCTAGTTTCTTGGGACTGCACTGAGCTTCATAATCTTCGGAGCAAGGAAGATAGCCTTACCGAGCTTGGGTGGGATCTAAAGAAAAGAAAAATTAAAAAATCTTCAATCTTTCTTCAGATATAATTTAATGTTAAAGTTATTGCTGATTATCTGTTTGATCATTCATAATCTGGCCATACGCCCCGCACACCTTTGGTTTGTGTATATTTCTCACAATGCTTGTCGCCATCTTTGACAAAGCTAGTCACGTGACCATAAGTCGTGATCTAATTGGTCAATGCGCACTGTTGATTGAAAGGCAAGAAGTGTCGATTAATTTAGGATAATCTGATACATCTGAAAATTGCTCTGGTTCTAAATCACGATAAAGAAGGGTCAAATTCCACAGACATATGTTTCAAAGACAATTTCAAGTGATCGGAGTTCGGAGATTTTCCAAGCAAACGGAGGTAGCATGCTACCCAGAGAAAATCTTGGTTTGTATATTTTTACTTTTGTTCCAAACAAAAGGCATTAGGCAACATGTTTGATTTTTGAATCGCGTTAGTCGAAATGGAGGAGTTGAGTCCTTCTTTGAAGCTCTGTGTTCTTACCTCGGTTTCTGAGCAGACATCGAAGCGATACTGCTGCAGTACACGGACCAGCGCCATCTTGGCTTCCAGCAAGGCAAAGCGCATACCGATGCAGTTACGAGGACCGAAGCCGAACGGCATGTAGGTGCACGGTTTGATGGATGCCTTGTTCTCAGGGCTGAACCTGTGAAGGAGAAGATTATGTTAACAAAAGTGGAAATATTTGTGGTGTTTTCGTGGTGTGTTTTCTAGTGTTGAATATGGTGTATTTTCTTTATAGCATAACAAATGCTCTTGGTGCTGTGATTTCGAATTATATTTCGTCTAATAGGCCTACACAGGAACGACGCTGAAAAATTTGACATTAAAACAAAATAATCTTCACACATCTTTCTTAAAATTTAGGCATACGCAGATGAAAAATGAGGCCACTTGAACAGAAATCTCCAAGAACGATTTATGTGCACATTATTGTCCTCTGGTAGGCCCCTAAGGCGTCCTGACGTCTATAATGCTGACGATCTATGAACGTTACGTATGTGCCTTTTAAAGGCTCCTGCCTACTAAACAAATACATGTACTCAGGGACGATAACCATATGGCACTATCCAGCAAGGGATGATAACGAATACTTTACCTCTCCGGGTCAAATTTGGTCGGGTTTGGCCAGAATTCCTCGTCGTAGTGTAAGGTCCAGAGACTGACCATCACGTTTATTCCCTTTTCGATAGTAAGACCTTCGTATGAAAATGTCTCGTTGCACATACGTTCAAAGCTGTAAATATAAATAATGAGTAAATTCGTCAGCGTTTTCACGAAGGGACGAATTTGCCTAGGATATTGAACAGTGGTTTTGAGAATAACGGGTTTTAAGCTGGTCACTTTTTGAAAAAAAGATTTCGCCTATTTTTGGAGCACATGTTGACTTATTTTTGATACCGATAGTAAGCTGGGATCATAAACTTGAAAGTTGCACCAATTACAGTATAATAGAAAAATTAATTGCGGACTAATTGGAGATTTGTCTGTTCGTGAAAACTCAAAATCCCACACGCGCGTTGTTTTGCCGGGCAATTTGCCCATACCCATTGCGCGCTAAATTCGTCTCTTCGTAAAAATTGAAAACCCCACACGCGCGGGGGGGGGGGGGTTTGCCCTTCGCGCTCGATTTGTCTCTTCGTGAAAACGCCTAAACGCGCGTTGTCTTTGCCCCATAGAACAACATGATATAGTTTGAATTTGCCTGTTCGAGAAAACTGAAAATACAATTCAGGTGAAATTTCCCCTACATTGATTGTCATGATTCTATTGATTTAAACTGATTTTTGATCAACAAAACTTCGTCAAAACGTTCGTCGCTGTTCACTTAACCAATTTCGGCCGGAAAAAAATAATTTCGAACAAATATGGATTTTTGGCTAAATTCGTCCCTTCATGAAAACGCTGACGAATTATTCAAGCTTGTTTAACACCAGAAAGTTTTCAAAATAAAAACGAGTAGGCCTAGTCAAAGTCAGTTCACGATTGAAGTGTTTCTTACGCGACTGCTGGGGGATACATGCGCAGTGATTCATTGATCACCATGTCCAGGTACTCCATCTTGGCGATGACGTCATAGCCGAGGTTGTCACGTGTGGGAGCCAGGTTGTCAATCTCAGCGTGCAGTTTCTCTTGCGTGTCTTGGTTGGTAGCCAGCAGGTAGGCAGTGAAGCACAGCAGCGTGTTGGTAGTCTCGTAACCAGCCAGGAAAAAGGTGACAGCCTGAGGTTATGAAAGCCAAATAAATCATATCCGAATGAGAGTGGTCTTGTAAACAGCCAAAAAAATTGAACCGCCCGGTAAGTCATTGACAAACATCGCGTATGTCATTACCTTGCTGTATGTAGCGTTAAGAAAATTGTGCTTATTCGGTGACCAACCAGCCTGAAAAAAAATGATAGCCTGAAGCCATTACAGCTAAATCTTGTCCGAATGAGAATTCAAAAGTCAAAATCCATACCCAAGTTTGAATTTGAAGACAAAATTTGTGCGAACTCAATAGTCAAATCTGGTACAAGTGCGATTTCCAAAAACTTAAATGGGGTCGATCAGTAATTTAACATTGAAAATTATGGAAAGACTTGTTCTCTTTTGCTTTCAACAACACAATTTTACAATCACACATTAAACATAACAACGTTTATATTGATAACTTTTTTCCCTTGTTTATGTTGACACCCCAGGATTATTATTTATTTTTCTCTGAGCTCCAATTAACACCTACCTGTGCCATGACGTCCACTGTTGACAGTGGCCTGCGATGGGCGGTGCCCTTGTTCTGACCGCTCTCTGCGGTGGGCGTGTCTTCCTCCTCGTGTTCCTCGTCTTCGTGGGCGTTCAGCATCAGCTGCAACAAATCGATGTGCTGCAAACAGAAGAACATCGATATAGGCATATAACAGTCACACCAAGGGTGTTAAAGGGAATATACAACATTTGCAAACATCGAAAAATAAAACTACCAAGTTTTTGCGAAATTCCTTAATAGGATGTTGGTAAATGACAGTCTAAAGCATCCTGTAAAATTATGGCACCTGGTATACTGTCATTTTCAAGAAAAGTGGTATTTTTGTATCAATTTCCAACGCTGATCGGCCGATCAGCGTTGGAAACAACTGGCTTTTTTCAAATACTGGCCCCAATTGACCATTGCACTTGTTTGCAATCGATTACAAACCTATGAACGGGTACGAGCCAGCTAGACTGGTTCCCTGACCTTACAATTCCCCAATGTATGTAAACTGCTCTGTTTCTTCTTATATGGAGTCAGGGAACCAGACTACAGGAAAATGATCGTTTTTCTTGGTTTTTATAGCATTTTCGATCCCAAAACCTCCAAAAAGTCAGTGTAACTATATTTGCTTTATATTTCCAACCCCCCAATTCCATCCATTTCTGAAAATTACAGCAAAAGCAAATGATGTATATTCCCTTTAAGTAACCAACTAACTATTCAGCAGACTTAAGTCGAATCAAATTCAATCATATCTTATGAAATCAGTTTTAACCTTTGACGCATCCTGACCCTCCTGTTTGCGCATGTTGCACGCGGCCTCCGTGACGTTCATGAAAAATTTCATAACTTCCGGGTCAAACATGTCGAATTTGAGATAAGCAAAGATGGGTGACAGAGCGGGGAAGGCGGCTGAAATAAAAGGAAAAATCATCATTTTAAAAAAAGAGTTGCACACCTATTTAGGCCTACATTATAAATTAAACTGATGGATAGGTTTCATTGTAATTGGATGCTTATATAATAATACTTTCATTAAAATAATTATGAACAAAAAAAAGTGTTCAAAACATTTTGGAAGCAATGTCGTTTACTAGATAGCTGTATCGTCAAATTGATTTATTCCTGATTCATTTTTTATTTATTTCGATTCATTTACTTATTCATTTCGCGTCTTTTCTGGGTGGCTTTTGGGGCTTTTAGCCTGAAACTTTGCGGGTCTGACAGTTTAATTAAAAAGTTCGAAAAGAAAGTCTTTAGGCCTAAGCGTATTTTTCAAACGACCTGCAAGTTTTCAAAAGAACAGTTTTAATGAAATTGCCTTAAAAAAAACAACTCACAGACGATTAAGAAAGCGGGATTGAAGAGGCTGAAATCGAAGGCGTTCTTGGCGTTCTTGACGAAAGGATCATCCTTGTTCTGCTGGGAGTCAACTTTGAGGCCGAATCCACACCTCGCAATGGCGTCCATGGTGAAAGCACCAAACAACCTAAAGATAAGCAAACAAGGTGGATGGAGGCGCTGATATTTAACGACGCCATATTGGGGGTACCAGACGTGAACCTCGGTTTAATAAAGTAGGCTTCAATGATGCTTTGTTACAATTCCAATTCTAAAAGTAACAATCTTCCATTTCCAAATTGAAGTTACGAGCTTTCTTCAATACGATACGAAACAACGGGGTGGTAAATGCGCCTCGCTCGCGCCAGCTATATGTACCTTGTGGCCCATTTCCTATAACAATTGGCATTAGATTCCTGGCGATCTGGAATTTACTCACAAAACAAATTTACGTCTTCATTGCCAAACTTTCTAAGAGCTTTCTATAGTACCCAGTAAGAAAACTCTGAAGGGAAGTGAACATTCGACGGCACGATGAAAGTGTAGGAGTCTACACTGTACCGCATTTATTGCCAGGGTTATCGTGGATGGTCAAACTCCAACACAGCAGCGAATGTTTCGTGATTATTTCGCTTGTATCTTACACTCTGCAGTCGGCGGCTCTTCCTCCCTCCTGGGCCTTGCTGAAACTTGCCACCAAGGTATCACAACATTCATTGATCGTCTCCGACATCTGGTAAGATTTCATTCAAAGACAATCATTACATGTACACTGCACCAAGGTTTCAAGCAACTAAATAGGTCATTCCATTTCGGGTCCACTTTATTTTCCTGTCCCTGTTGCATCGAAAATCTATGATTGAATAATTCTGATGCACTCCAATAATACAGTCGTCCTCAAAGAGTGATTATGAATAGCAAACTACCTACCTAACGAATAAAAATATCGTTTGAAGACATTCTCAATGATACTTGAATGACAAATTACAAAGTACCAAGGTAACAGGGACAGGAGAAATGTCACACTTTGGAACCCGAAATTTACAATTAGGGACTAGAGTGAAAATCACTCTAAATAGTCAGTCCAGTGCAACTTTGAGTGAAAACTTAATCTACTCGATTGAAGGAATTTAATTGTAAGACGTCTGGTCCCTAATTTCAGTCGGTGGGAGTGAAGGGTTTCACTATCTGGAAATAAAAGAGCGACAAAGAAAAAACTAACAAACAAAGACACAAACACCCCATCAACAGATCTTTCTACTATCAATTTTGACCGTTTTGGAATCTCTTATGACAAAGTCTTACCAGTCTCATTTTGGAGGCACTGAATGACGGAGTGATGACGTTGCGTATCTCTTTCCATTCTTCGTTCACAAGCTGAGTCAAGCCTCTGTTCAAGGGCTTTTGCCCGAGTGGGGATATCTGCCCAAAACAGAACGAAAGCTGGAATAACCTTCTTCAAACGTACAATGCTCAAGAGAGTGAAAAAGATTAAAATTCTTACCCTGCGGTTGTGGAAACTTGAGAAATTCTTAACCAAGACATTCTTCAAAATGTCAGGGTCGTTGATAATCAGAACTGGACGTCGGAAATCATACATCCTGGAATAAGTATAACATAATAATTATGAAGTAAAACTCAACAATATAACTGATTTCTTCTTTTTTTCCTTTTTTGATAGAAATCTAGGGCCCATTTTAAAACGTATAACATGGTTGTTAATTTTACGCACCCGACGACTCTTCCGTGCTTTTTCACATACTCGGTCCAAGTAAACTGGACGCCCTGTGAAACAAAAACAAGTGCGAGTGCACAATAAGCTCAGGCGAAAAATGTGACGCCGATGGCACATATGGAACACCATACTTTTCGTCAATTTTCATTTCCTCCTTCTGGATACCGTCAAACCATGACAAAAAACACCACGCGACTGTAACAATACTGCAAGTATCTTGCCTCCGTTTACACAATCTTCATAGACAACTTAACGAATATGTTACAAACAGTTTTAGAGCGCATTTAATATACGGACGACGACATTTTGCTAATTTATTTTAAATATTTTTGGTTAAATTTTCGGCGACCGACCGACAATAAAGTAACATGTATAAAATCTTGCCAGAGCTTAAAATTAATAGAATGGAAATGTAATTTATCTGCTCCCATTAAGATTTAAAGTCTATTTTTGTAATTGTGATTTCAACAATAACATGCTTTGCCAAATCTTGATGTTGAACATAGCGCGACGGTAGAGAAAGTAAAATTGCACGCCACAAAACAGAGACAGGGTCAAGTGGCCTGGCATAGCATAATGAAAAATAACCCCAACCTTTGACCTTTTGCGTTAATGAAATTTATTTCTGTAGCTTGATTTATTCTAAAGATATGACGCAGCAACTTCAATAGTGTCCTGCCAAGTTTCGCTAACCTCATTTAAAGAAAAACGGCTTTAAACAAAAAGACACGCATTGCGCCGCCAACGGAAGTGAAAAGCGTTCTTTAGTTTTTTCACTGTTGTGGGTATTAATATCCCAACAAAAATGAAGTGTGAATCTTGGATACGTTGGCTACTCAAAAACACAAAATCATCACTATCGATTTCGACATGATTTTTCTAGTATATCCGACTTTAGGCGTCAAAACTTAGTTTTGGGGGACATTCCTCATTGTGTCTCAGTAGAGTTTCCAGACCCGTTTGTTCTTTTAAAACTCCCTCGAGTTTGTTTGCGGTATTTACTGATTGTCACTCCTTTTGTTTAGAAATATAAAGAAAATTTATAAGTCCGGGAAAGTCACTGGATGCGAACCGGACATCACGCAACATAAATAGAAGAAAAGATTACTCTTTTATCGGCAAAACATTGAAAATCTTACATGACGAAATTGCAGTATGTTCCCAAAGAAAGGAATGTAGTCGGCTACAGGGATACCACGCCTCTGGAAATACTGGTGACACCACCAATCATACCTGAAAATCAAGTAGAAAAAGAGTCACAAATGCTTCAAATTCTCAGATGTTGTTTATATCAACGATTCCGTGAAATGATAAAAAAAAATCTAAATAGCAGGCCTATACTAGTCTTGTTACACACTGAAAGTACGGACGAATGTCGAAGCGCTTAAGCTGAAATCGCTGTAGTTGGTTTTGGTACCGAGCCTTGCCAAAAAAAAATCACGCCATCAGAATATTATGAAACAAAGTTGGTTCGTGACAAACATCTAAAAATCATCTACCTCTACGCTGCTAAAACTGTGTTTAGCAATTAAACACTTTTCTTAACACTTTCTTGCCATCAGTTTGTAAGCATGTTTACATACTAAACATGTTTAGAGTAAGAATGGATCGTGTTTAGCATTTGAACATCGATGTTTAGGAATTGAACACATAGTTTATTAGCTTCTAAACATGTTTACAAAGTGATAGCAAAATTGTGTTTAATTGCTAAACACAGTTTTTAGAGAAAATATCTGCCAATATCAGAGACACAGATAGAGTTTGAAAAAAAATGTCCTACCCTTTTCCAATCCTGACACCCCCTCCCATAACGGCCAAGAGCTTAGAAAATAGTATTAAACACTAGGTAGTGAAACAATTAACACAACTTTCAAAGGTGTGAATTAACAAAACACAACAGAGTGGCTGATTTGAGAGTTTGGTCTCCTATACCGACCTTCTTTGGCAAGACCAAAGACAATTCTAAATCCAAAATCAGAAAACATTAAACTGTATTTCGGTGATAAAGTGAATAACACCGTTGACCTATACATGTATAACGATAAGTTTGCTTCAATTCATTGTGTTCACAATTGCACAAAGTCCATGCAGACAAACTTAACGGCTCACCAGGAAACCAGGTTTGAAACCAGCCTAAGTTTGAGCACTATACTGCGCATGCTTGTGGGTGTTCAAAACCTGGGCTTCGTCATCACTTCGGCTTCATATCTATATCTGGCACCAGGAGCATTTCGAAGTCTGTACTGTCCAAAACCAAACGTTATTATCAAGACCTAGTTTTGACCTATGAGGGAACGGAAATGCACGTACTCTCATTGCAGGATGTTTTGTTGTTGGTCTTTTTGACGACCATTAGAATTTTCTGCGCCCTGGTTAAAGCAATGGAAGATCAACGCGAAATCGACCATTCTTTTGATAGAATATGAAATTATCTTTGACGTTAATGGGAAATTGTGCTGTGGCCACTGTCAAAAGATGGAGGATCTCATCGTTTTTTTCATTGGAATGCCAATAGTTGAGGATGGAAAAACATTCCGCGTTACAGATTTCACCCCGTCTATAAATGGATATCACGTATGTTCCGATCTGGTGATAAATGCAAGAGAATGTTTCCCTATCTGCAAGAAAACGTACATAATATTGACAATTGACGAATAAAACGAATATTTCGGACCAAATTTCATGCATCGTCGCCGGCTCGTTAAGTATTCAAACAGAGGTCATGGTCACGCACCTGAATGCCATTCATTGCACGTAAAGTGAACTGCTTTTACCATACAGTGCGCTGCCGATTGACTGCAAGAATACAGCAGTGACAGACGCATTGAAAAGAGTGTGGTAACCAGACGCCACTTCTTTGGTCGTGTACAAAGTCTATGGAGATTCGAGTGCAGTTTATACTAAAATTGGAAATGTTTCTCAGTCCCAGATTCATGTCTCTTCAACATGATGAAAAAAATTGGTGTCAAGATGCAACATTCTTCCCGAAGCAGTTCGTGACTGTGAAAAAAATAAAAGGATTGTTGAACTTGAGATCAAGTACGTACCAAACTGACACGAGAACGAGACCAATGACCAGCAGCCAAGTCACTGACAAGTCAAATCCTAACAGCTCCATTATGTTTTTGACGATAAATTCATGCAAACTACCGCTCAATTGTCCAGCTATATTGTCCTCTTTTCCCTCAGATCACGCACCCGGCCCAGTTCAATTTTTGTATAGACTCAGAACCTGCGAATGAAAACACTCGAGGCCACACAAACACAGGTGGTAGAATCCATTGTACTCAAGAGGGGAGTTCAGCGTTGAGTTAACTCTGCCCGGTACAGTCACAGAAGTAAGGACAGTGCTATAGTGACGTCATATGTATTTATAGGGTGAGAGTGCATGCCGAGCGTGCAACTGAATGATCAAATTTTAACCTCCGATTTCGTCTTCTTGGAGATTTTTTTCTGGTAGTGGCCATGCATGGTGGGTATGATTTCACGGATTAACCGAATTACATCAGTTTTGGTTGTAATGTGAGCAATGTATAAGCCATAGTGGAGCCCCCTAACATGGTGCACCTTTCCCTCGACTTTCCTCAGCAGCATGGGGCGTAAATCCCGGGGTGATGGGGGTATATATCCCCCCCCCCCCCCCCCCCACATGTTTACGTTGTACGTAGTGTGGACATTACTTTGTTTTTGTGTATAGTAAGGAAAAACCTCTGAGGAAAAAAACTCATTTTACTTACACTGTGAAAACTCTTTCAACCCAATTTTTTTCTATGATTCCCTTCAGTGTTCCTTGAACTTGTTTTTCAGAGAGGTGGAAACAGTGTGTGGACCGTGGGCAAGTCCACACAACGTCGCTGCCTAAGTTTATGTGGACCTCTTTTGTTCGGAAGTCCTCACAGTGAATGTAATGCTTGCACACACACATACATTTTGAAATGGGGATGGGCTATATTGAATCATCTCCCACTTTTTCGTGGTGAGAAAAAAAATGCAGATTTCGAGGTATTTTTCGAGCAAAAATGTATTCAATAGCACTGACAAGTGGAAAAACGAAGTACAAAAGCTTTTAAAATGCTCCGTTTTGATGTATACATAATTATTGATATGATATATCTACATCCGTTTTACCACACGCTGTGTGGTTGTAGAGGGGCGTGGCGCTGATTCGAGCCCGGTATTGAACTGCCCAAGGGGCTAATGTGGAAATTGTATATCCAACAATCTGTTCCATGAAAGGAGCCTAAATTCACAGTGTTCCTGTAAGCTGATGGGCAAAGATACGTTTATTGAGAGCCAAGCACGGTAAAAGTACATTAGCATTTATGTGTAAGTACACTGTGTAGTTGTCATAAGTTTCTTGTTGCATATGAATTTTTAACATCTATTTGAAAATCGAACAATACTTGGCGTCGATCTGACCCTTAACTCATTAACACTACTAAAACAACGAAGTGATGTCAAAAGGCATTATGTTGAAGATCTATAAATATAAACATCGGATGTATAGAAATGTAAAGATCAGTAAATATTACTCTTAGCATTAGCTTTGTTACTGTGAAGGGGCGTAACTTATTTCCACCCATTAAACTTCAGAAAGGCACTAAAATGGCGATATTTTATCAAAGTGCTGAAACTCATGCCGAATAGTACAACTTATCACAAAACTTGCACCAAAAATAGAAAATTTCATTAAAATATATCTGAGAAGGAACACAACTGAAATACATATTTCAACCTATATATTATGCCCCTTTGCATATCTATTTCAGCAATTTAATAAAGGCATTTTAAAATAAACTTTTTGGGGGGGAATTTAATCTGTTCTTGTTTGACACGAAATTTACTCTGGTTTCCCTAAAACATGATTTCAAAACAGATACCTCAGTCTAAAGAAGATTTACTATATAACACGTCAGGTGCCGGGCAGAAGAACATAGATCGTTAGATCTGACGCGAAAAAAACCACTGCAAGAAAATTGCATTTAAAGGCTCCAAAAGAGTGCTCCCCCACGAGTACAATCAATCCACGTTCTTCCACAGGTATTATATATCTAACGAATTTTAAATTTGGCTTACGTTTAAATCATAGTTTTTGGAACAACTCGTATTAATTTCCGCCGGAAATGCCGCCGCACGCGCTCTGCTGTCAGGCACACGAAACTCAATAACTACGACAATTACTCGTAAAAGCAAACAACTAAGAAAGATTTCCACTAACCAATTCTATGTTGCTTTGACGAGCAAAACACATTGACAGAAGCTAATATTTATCATCGTCACATTATAAGCTTTGCACAAAAAATTATTCGCAAAAACAAAATATAGACCTTACTTAGTTTTGCATTCAATATCGAAGTGTAAAGATCCAAATTAACTTGATGCTATTATTTCCACAAAAGTGGCACAAATGCCATAACCCTACCCAATTGCCAAATGAGTGATTGGTGAACAAAATAATGAGACGCAACATGAACGTCTTGTTGCAATCATCTCAAGGCAGACATCATAGAGATTTCTCTCTTTCTATCCTCCGTGGTTGCTGCCTAGTTTCTTGGGACTGCACTGAGCTTCAGACTCTTCGGAGCAAGGAAGCCCATCTTACCAAGCTTGGGTGGGATCTGGACGAAAGAAAGATTAAAAAAAGGCTTCAATATTTCTCCAGATAGAATTTCATGTTAACGGTCTTGCTGATTATCTTTTAGGTTGTTAATAATTTGGCCATAAGCCCCGCCCACCTTTGCTTTGTGTTAGTTCTCACAATGCTTGTGACCATCTATGACCACGCTACCGCGGTCACCTGACCATAAGTCGTGATCTAATTGGTCAATGCGTACTGTTTGATTGACAGGAAAGAAGAATCAATGTATTTGGGATAGTCTGATACATATTAATTTTTTTTCTAAACCACGCGAAAGAAGGGTCACATTCCACACAAAAATTATGTTCGAGAGACAGTTGCAAGTGCTCGGAGTTCAGACTGTTTTAGATTGTATTTTGACTTTTGTTTCAAACACAAGGCAATGGTCAAAATGGAGGAGTTCAATCCTTCTTTGAAGCACTTCATTATTTTTCATAAGTTACCTCGGTTTCTGAGCAGACATCAAAACGACACTGCTGCAGCACACGGACCAGCGCCATCTTGGCTTCCAGCAAGGCAAAGCGCATACCGATGCAGTTACGAGGACCAGAGCCGAACGGCATGTAGGTGCACGGTTTGATGGAGGCCTTGTTCTCAGGGCTGAACCTGTGAAGAAAAAGCAATAAACGCTTTGATTTATACTTAAAAGTATGTTAATAAAAGTGAAGATGTTTTTGATGTATTCGTGGTGTGTTTTGTTGTGTTGAATATGGTGCAATTTCTGTGTAGCAAAACAATTGCTCTTGATGCTATGGTTCGTTACCTTTCCGGGTCAAATTTGGTCGGATTTGGCCAGAATTCCTCGTCGTAATGTAAAGTCCAGAGACTGACGAACACGATCATACCCTTTTCGATGGTAAGACCTTCGTAGGTAATTGTCTCATTGCACATACGATCAAATCTGCAAAAGATAAATCATGAGTAAATTGTTCAAACCTTTTCTGGTACCATAGCTTTGAAAATAAAAACGAGTAGTCAAAGTCAGTTCACGATTGAAGTGTTCCTTACACGACTGCTGGGGGATACATGCGCAGTGATTCATTGATCACCATGTCCAGGTACTCCATCTTGCTGATGACGTCATAGCCGAGGTTGTCACGTGTGGGAGCGAGGTTGTCAATCTCAGCGTGCAGTTTCTCTTGCGTGTCTTGGTTGGTAGCCAGCAGGTAGGCAGTGAAGCTCAGCAGCGTGTTGGTAGTCTCGTAACCAGCCAGGAAAAAGGTGATAGCCTGAAGTTATAAAAGCCAAATCATATCCGAATGAGAATGCAAGAGTCAAATCCATACCCAAGTGCGAATTCGAAGACAAAATTTGATTAAGTGCGAATTCAAGAGTCAAATCTGGCCCAAGTGAGTATTATGGAGTCTGGCCACAGTGCGAATCTTAAGTTAGTCTTTGATAAATGAAAATAGTCGTTTTCATTTGCTTGTCACTAAAAATGTTTATCCACTGATTTCTATCTGATCCCCTTTAATCAATCAAAACTTACCTTTCAAACAATGTATCAAAATCTATTAAGGCAACAACCTTCGCAAACATCAAGATACAAAACTATCACATTATGTTGAAACGCCTTACTTCTGTAAGAGAATGACAGTCTAAGGTATCCTGTAAAATCATGGCACCTGGTGTGCTGTCATTTGCAAGAAAAGTGGTATTTTTGTATCAAAAACTGGCCTATTTTCAATATTGCCCACTAACACCCACCTGTGCCATGACGTCCACTGTTGACAGTGGTCTGCGATGGGCGGCGCCCTTGTTCTGACCGCTCTCTGTGGTGGGCATGTCTTCCTCCTCGTGTTCCTCGTCCTCGTGGGCGTTCAGCATCAGCTGCAACAAATCGATGTGCTGCAAACAGAAGAACATCGATATAGCTCGAGAACAACAGCATCAAGGGTGTTTAGTAACCAACTAACTGTACAACAGGTATAATTTCAATCAAATTCAGTCAGATCTTATCAAATCAAATCTAACCTTTGACGCATTCTGACCCTCCTGTTTGCGCATGTTGCACGCGGCCTCCGTGACGTTCATGAAAAATTTCATAACTTCCGGGTCGAACATGTCGTATTTGAGATAACTGAAGATGGGTTCCAGTGCAGGAAAGACGGCTAAAAGGAAGGGGGAAAATATATCACAACAGAAGTCGACGATGTTATGTTCAACGTTTGCTTATGCATGTGAAACTTGAATGCTTGCAAATTTTCAAAAATACCGTTTCAATAAAAAACAAATCCACATTTATAAGGATCCAACGCACCGATGATCATGAAGACGGGACTGAACAGGTTGAAATCGAAGGCCTTCTTTGCGTTCTTGACGAAAGGATCATCCTTGTTCTGCTGGGAGTCAACTTTGAGGCCGAATCCACAACTCGCAATGGCGTCCATGGTGAAACCACCAAACAACCTAAAGCAAAATAAGTGAATGAGGCGGCTGTAAAGACGCCATATCGGGGGTACCAGCAGACGCGAACCTCGGGTTAATGAAGCAGATTTTTCATGATGATTTATTTGCGATTCTAATTCTAAAATTTACAATGTTCTATTCTAGATTGAAGAAAAGTTACGAGATGTAGATGGCATATATTTCTTACAACTGACATTAGATTCCTGCTCTCTAAATTCAAATGAGTGAAAATTCACTCCATTCGAGTGAAGATTCAATCCCACTGTCGGAAGTAGGGACTAGACGTTTTGGAGTGAAATTTCTTCAATCGTAAAGATAGAGTTTTCACTCGAGCTTCGACTGAAGTGGTGCTTTTTTCAGACTATTTCAATCGAAAATTAGAGTGATTTTCACTCTAAAACGTCTAGTCCCTAATTTCACTTTTTGGAATTTAGAGAGTGGCGCTCTGGAAAATTTTCACCCACCAAAAACAATTAAGTATAGTTCATTGTCAAAGTGTTCCTAGAGCTTTGAAAGAGGCAAGAAAATAAGTCACATACGGGCTAACTCTGAAGGTACATGAACCACCACCGCTCGATAAATTGCGGGAGCCTAAACCTAAATAAGTCACATACGGGCTAACTCTGAAGGTACATGAACCACCACCGCTCGATAAATTGCGGGAGCCTAAACCACTCTGCTACTTTTCTTGTCATGCTATCCTGGTTGGTCAAACTCCAACACAGCAGCCAGTAAGGTAACTGAGATTTTTTTTTTTGATTTTTTTTTTGCGATATGCAAATGTTTTGCTTGTATCTTACACTCTGCAGTCGACGGCTTTTCCTCCCTCCTGGGCCTTGCTGAAACTTGCCACCAAGGTATCACAACATTCATTGATCGTCTCCGACATCTGGTAAGATTTCATTTAAAGACACAGTTATAGAAACTTCACACAATAAAGACAATGTTGGGGCTCAACAGTTCTGTAATTGAATTTGAAAGTTTCTCCATAAATTACGAGAATTCTGTACCTCCTCCAAAGGGACACTTTTGGGGGGAACCCTGTACACTAATCAAGGCTTAATGCAACTGTAATAATGTGTCATTTTACAAATTTGGAGCCAACGTATTTTTCCTGTCCATGTCAGATCTGAGATCTATGATTCTATAAATTATGATGCACTCGATCTCCGAGAGTGCAAAATACCTATCCAACAAATAGAAAACTTTTCGTTGAAGTCAACCTTAATGATACTTAATTTGCAATTTACGAAGTACCGAGGTAACAGGGACAGGAAAAATGTCACACTTTGGACTCTAAATTGACAGAATGACCCTCATTCACTTTCTAATTACCAAAGAGTGATACAGTGGACGAGATTTACAGTGAAAATACTCTATTAATGCTCAAAGGAAATACAGGGTGAGTAAAAAAAAATGAAACCCAAATGTGGGGACCATTATTTTATTGAAGTTCTGCATGTAGCGCTTTCAAACTCTAGGATATCAAAGCCCAATTCATAAGCTTTCTTTTAGTACACGAATCGTTCAAATCACTCCTGTACTTTTCAAGTTGCGGAATTTTAAACACAACCACCGTTTTAAGGTTCTGTCCACGGATCACAAAAAAAGTTCAGTGTTCTTTCAGCAAAACAAAAAGAAATCACATAGGGATGTGTGTGAATTGTTTTCGTTTAAGAACGCACACCATTTTTTGTGATCCGTGGACAGAACCTTAAAACGGTGTTTGTGTTTAAAATTCCGTAACTTGAAAAGTACAGGCGTGATTTGAATGATTCTTGTATTTAAAGAAAGCTCATGAATTGGGCTTTTATTTCCTAGATTTTGAAAGCGCTTCATGCAGAACCTCAATAAAACAATAGTCCCAACTTTTGGGTTTCTTTGTTTTACTCACCTTGTACTCTGGGGAAAAAATATCGATCCAGGGAAAACTTGAATGAAAACTCCATCTAATCGGTTGAATTAATTTCACTCTAAAACGTCTGGTCCCTATATTATAGTTTCAGAAGGTGGGAGTAACTTTTCACTCGAATAGAGAGAATTTCACGATTTGGAAATAAAAGGACTGCAAAAGAATAACAAACGCATCGTTCTATTTTCAATTTTGACTGATTTAAAACATTTTATGACAAAGTCTTACCAGTCTCATTTTGAGGCACTGAATGACGGAGTGATGACGTTGCGTATCTCTTTCCATTCTTCATTCACAAGCTGAGTCAAGCCTCTGTTCAAGGGCTTTTGCGCAAGTGGTAATTTCTGCCCAAAACAGAATGGAAGGTAATTATTTACTTGAAACGAGCAATGCCGATTAGTTTAGTCGGAAAAGGGGGGTATCGTGCACCCTCGGAAATCAATTTCTAATCAACGTTTCTAGGTCAGAAAAAATGCGTAGAAAACGATTTGCTATGTTAAAAAATTCAAAAAATGTCCCACGTATTGTTTTTATGCAAATTAGTGCCGCCATTACCGAAAAATCTATTTTTAATTATATCTCAGCCAATATTGCAGATAACTGAACGAACTAGGTGTCTAAACCCATGTTTTCAAGGTCAGAGATCACAATAAAACTATTCTGGAAGTGACCACATGTGTCTGTGGCATAGGAATATGCAAATTAGTGCCGCTATTACCGGAAAATCATGTTTTTGGCATATCTCGGCCAATATAGCACATAACTACACCAGTAAGGTGTCTAAACCCATGTTTTGAGGGTCAAGTATCATTAGAAGACCATTCACGAAGTAACTATGTGTGTCTTTGGCATGAAAATATGTAAATAATAAAGTGTCGGTTTATCCGCTCTTTGATTTTTAGCCAATATCTCGGCCAATATTGCACTTAACTACACAAGTAAGGTGTCTAAACCCATGTTTTGAGGGTCAGGTATCATTAAAAGACCATTCACGAAGTAACTATGTGTGTCTTTGGCATGAAAATATGTAAATTCTAAAGTGTTGGTTTATCAAAAAAGTGATTTTCAGCCAATTTATATTCAATTTCAGCCAATATTACAGTTTATTTTGAATATGATGGCTTAAAATAAACGTTGATCATTATTGCTTATCAAAAACCCTTATGTTAACATTAGCTGCAATATTGGCCGAGATATTGGCTAAAAATCAAATTTCTGATAAATCAACACTTTAGAATTTACATATTTACTTGCCAAAGACACACATAGTTACCTCGTGAATGGTTTTCTAATGATACCTGACCCTCAAAACATGGGTTTAGACACCTTACTTGTGTAGTTAAGTGCAATATTGGCCGAGATATTGGCTAAAAATCAAAAAGCGGATAAACCGACACTTTATAATTTACATATTTTCATGCCAAAGACACACATAGTTACTTCGTGAATGGTCGTCTAATGATACTTGACCCTCAAAACATGGGTTTAGACACCTTACTGGTGTAGTTATGTGCTATATTGGCCGAGATATGCCAAAAACATAACGTTCCGGTATTTGCGGCACTAATTTGCATATTCCTATGCCACAGACACATGTGGTCACTTCCAGAATAGTTTTATTGTGATCTCTGACCTTGAAAACATGGGTTTAGACACCTAGTTCGTTCAGTTATCTGCAATATTGGCTGAGATATAATTAAAAATAGATTTTTCGGTAATGGCGGCACTAATTTGCATAAAAACAATACGTGGGACATTTTTTGAATTTTTTAACATAGCAAATCGTTTTCTACGCATTTTTTCTGACCTAGAAACGTTGATTAGAAATTGATTTCCGAGGGTGCACGATACCCCCCTTTTCCGACTGAACTAGATTAAAATATTGGGAAAATGAAGGCGTGAATTGATGTAAATTAGGAGGAAATTAAGTTTAGATTTATTACCCTCCTGTTGTAGAAACTGGCGAAATTCTTGACCAAGACATTTTTCAAAATGTCAGGATCAGTGATGATCAGAAATGGATGTCGGAAACTATACGTCCTGAAATAAATATTTAAAAAAAACGAAGCATTACCAAATAATACTTCAGAATATAATTGATTTCCTTTTTTTAATAAAAAAATCCATTACGTCAAATCTATGTCACATGTGCGAAAATTCTACGTACCCGACGACTCTTCCGTGCTTCTTCACGTACTCGGTGAAAGTCTCCTGGATTCCCTGAAAACAAACAAAAACGATAGGACGGAAGGCATCTACATGTGTCTCCAACAAATTGTTAAAATCTCTTTAAAAAAATGCTTTCAATAGTAAAACGTTTTGCACATATTCCTGTTCATTCGTATTGTAAACATGCACCAAATCGTGTTAGTGAACGTTATACGGCGAAGAAGGTAATATTGCACGTCACAAAACAGTCATCGGGAGTTTGCAGACCCGTTTTGGTTGTTTTTATTTATTTTGTTGCTTGCGGTGTATAGTCACTCGTTTGTTAGGAATACCAGGGGAGTATTCCCTCGGCAAAGTCAGTTGTGCCAATCGCAACATCACGCAACATAAATAGAGGAAAAGATTACCCTTTTATCATCAAAATTTTGAAGGTCTTACATGACGAAATTGCAGTAGGTTCCCAAAGAAAGGAATGTAGTCGGCTACAGGGATGCCACGCCTCTGGAAATAATGGTGACACCACCAATCATACCTGAAAATCAAGTGAGGAAAGAGTTACAAATACTTCCAATTGGCAGTTCAAAACCATTTGAAATACATAAATACAAGTCCGAGGAATGAGCAACTAGTTACATTGTGTTGTTAGCTATAAAACAAAAAGTACGGACGAATGTCGAAGTATAAGTGCAATTCAATTTGTTCTGGTCTTAGAAAGTGGTTTTGAAAAAAATCCCTCCTCGGCTTTGCCATTAAAGGGCCCATGCAATGTAACTGTTTCCATGTAATCCTTGAAAATGCACAATGCATTGTGTCGTATTTATCCCCATTTTCACTTTTCGGTTTACCATTTTCAAGGGTATTTTGGCGCCTTTTCTTTGTTTTTATGCTAATACAAAGGTCAATATTCAGGAGCGAAAGTATGATGTCATTTCAGGCAGTACAATTAGTTTCAGCACCAAAAGTTGCCAGATTTTGAGATATTTCGCTGTCGAAAATGATCTTTCCTTTAGTAATTCGTTGTTGTGTCGGTAGGCCTACACGGCAGTATTAGCCCATGAGCAAACATTTCTCACAAATGTTTTCATTGAACACAATGATTGAGTTCACAATATGAACAAAATTTCTCCCCGAAATGACATCACAACAACATCGCACTCAGTTGTCTGGAAAAGCATGGAACACTAAATGTTTAAACAAGTACACTTTTAACCAGAAAGGGACCTCAAATAGTTTCCATACATTTAAGAGAATTACTAGTCTCCCAAACTCGGCAGTCTAATAAGCCACTGGAGCCGGATCCGGACTGAAGCCGAAATTTTGAAAAAGGCCATAGACTAGCTCAGGTTGGAACTGTTCTAGCTACATGAGTAGAAATGAACGTGCTGATAATCAGGCCAAAAGTCCAATATTAAAGCAGTCGTTATTTTGTAACGTCGCAAAAAAGGCGGCCATTGCGTGCATACACTACCCACAAATTAACTCAACAAAAGCAATACATTTGCACCCCTTCCCTTGCCCTTCAAATACAATTTGGGGCGGAAATTTTTTGACCCAGTATTTTGGGTCAACCTTCGTGCCTTCTTGGGTTTAATTCTCGTTTTACAACTAGAGAAGCACGAAACACAAATCAATGGGACTAGAGTTAAGGAAATCCGGTTTTTTTGTAATTGAACAACAATACACTAATTAACTATATCTACCCACGGAGGAATGAAGACAAAATCTTCAATGGTCGACATTAGCTAGATCATACATCACTAAATGACATCACTTTGGTCATGCATTATGATGAATGTGGAAATTTGAAGTGTATAGCCAAAAAAAATAGTTAAAATTGTACACAGAGGTGCTAGTAGGCCTAGATCTAGATTCCATTGACAAATTCTACCGCATTATCCATTGAACTCAGGCCGCGCGTACAAACAGTCACAGGACTAAAGAAGTCATCATATGGAGGGGGGAAATGTACATTTTGACGAGATCATTGAGAAGTACGTACCAAACTGACACAAGAACGAGCCCAATGACCAGCAGCCATGTCACGGACAAGTCCAATCCTAACAGCTCCATTATGTTTTGACCACAAATTCAGACAAACTATTATACTATATACCGCTTTTGCTGTTTTCAATTCCCTCAGAAATGATCATTACGAACCCTGGTTTATACAGGCTCAAAACCGCGACACCTGACTATTAAACGCACTCGAAGCCACACAAGCACAGGTGGTAGAATCCATTTTATTCAAGAGGGGTGTTCAGATTTGTGTTTACACTGCCCGGTGTCACGGTCTCACTTCTCCGGCGTGCTAGCTTCTCCGCAGAGGGAAATTTCGCCAAAACACGCATGCGCAAGTTGTGTAGTAGTGTACATTTCGCCAACTTTATTGTGTGCTGAGTCCTTTGGGGTTGTACGGGTGCACGTTAGATCTTTGGATATTTTTGTATGTACAAATTAATGTATACGTTACAAGGTACCAGTCGAATCCAGAATTTTTGTGGCGCGCAGAAATCCCAATACAATGTACCTGTAAAGATGTGAAGGATACACATGGTTGCAAAAATAAAGACAACCACGAACGAGCAAGGAACACAGACCTTTCACAGACACAGACCAAGGAGCCATGCACAGACCAAGGAGTTCGTTCTTAATTATTCTTCCATACACACACGTACACACCCACCCACCCACTCTCAAATTTGTATCCTTGTGGAGACATTCCTTTGTTCTCGTGTAGTAAAGTGTTCAATTTTGAAAGTGAAGTTTCGAAATGCTCTTATTTTAACCAGAATTAGTTTCCTTGGCTGAAATTTGGACTTAATATCCCTTTTCTAAAACTCTTTCATTTGCGACAGATCAACCCACCTTGGAAATTCCTAGTTTTTGAGTAAAACCCATATATCTATTTCGTGAAAACCTTGTGGAGACCTATTCATCTATAGAAATTGCCCTGTGGAGACCTTTACAATGTTTTGTTCCCTATTGTGTGTGTGTCTCCACAAGGATACGAATTTGTAGTCACGCTGTTGCAAGACCATGGAATGACCCAGGCAAAATACCCAGTCCTCTCTAAGCTTGACCCACAGGAAGTGTTACATAACACATTCTTGGGTGGACTTGGTAGACTCCATAGCACCCATGGGCGTCAATCCTGGGGGGGGGAGGGGGACAGGGGGACATGTCCCCCCCCCCCCCCCCCCCACTTTTTGAAGGGTGGGGGACACAATATCAAATGTCCCCCCCCCCCCAGATTTTTGAACTCGTGTCCCATTTACAGGGCCCTATTATGTACTTCAATGTATCGTTTGCTTAAAAAATATTGGTTAAAGTGGTCAGAAATTGCCTCAGATAGCACCACAGAGCATTTCGATTCCAATTTTTTGGGGGCCCTTAAGCGGGCCCCGAACCCGACGCCTGTACCTCAGAATTCTGGTAGCCAATTCAATGACTCCAACCTCGAAAACGATGTTCAAATAATTATCTTTTGTTACGAAAATATTAGTTGAAGTATGGAGAAAAGTGGTAAGAATTGCTCCAGATCACACCACAGAGCATCTAGAATCCAATTTTTTGGGGGCCCTTAAGCGGGCCCTGAACCCCACGCCGTAAGGGCTCCGCGCTTCGCGCTCGCATCAGTTCTGATCAAGGTATGCCCCTCCCCCCCCCCCCCCCACACACACACACACACACACTTTTGAGAAGCGATTGACGCCCCTGCCCGAGGAAAAGTAAGCACAGCGGACACATGAGCATGTATCGTGCTCATGTAACGTGCACTGTAACGTGCTCAATTATCCGCCGCATTCACCCGGAGAATCCAGCACGCCGGAGAAGTGAGACCGTGACACCGGTGTAGCGTGAATATCCGACTCCATGAAATGTGGACTCATTGTAGTACTGCGCACGCGTGAGTACGATACTGTGCTATTTTAGGATCATTTCGGGAGAGTGACCTGTCACGTGCGAGGGAGCAACCAATAATATGGAAATAGGGGTCCGATTTTCATAGGAGTCAAATTTTCATATGACACTGGTACAATAGACAGTGACATCATGTGTATTTACGGAGCGATTACGCATAACGGCGTGCAACTGAAAAAAAAGTTTTTCCAAACATTTGAGCCTCCGATTTTGTCTTCGTTGAAGATCTTTTTTCCCAGTAGTGGATTTCATGGATCCACCGAATTACATCAGCTTTGGTTCTTATGAGCGCAGCGTATAAGCCATTTATAGGGGGCCCCTATAACTTGGCGCCCTCGACTTTCCTCAGCAGTGTTGCCAAACCTCCTCGTTGACAAACTTCAAATTCAGTCGGTTAAATACTCGTACAATTACCTCCACAATGCTCGCTGTTGAACCTTTGTGGACAATTTCAAGGCGTGAAACTTAGTCGAAATTCAACTTGAAACAGTGGCGTCCGGAAATTGGGCACGAATTCGGCCGTGTGTTCCCTAACGTGGCGCACAACTTCATCTTGAGTTAATCCACGTTAACATTTTAAGTTTATTTACAATTGATAAATTCCGATAAATCATAACTATCTCCACTCACATACCCAACTACAATTTTTTCATAAAATAAGGTTTTTTTTTATTGTGGGCGCATATTAAAAGGATTGATTGTGCACTTCGAATAAATAAAATGACTTAAAGAGTTCTTTATTGAAAATTTGTCATTTGACCAACTCAACAAAATTATACTTGTCGAATAAAATGCAGAGAATCCCCTAACGTTTCATTGTGATTTACATGAAGGTATGGAACTGCCGGGCTTCCGAAATCACCACCTGACTGCCGTGTAGTTGTGGAGGGGCATGGCGCCGAACCGAGCCCGCCTACCGAACCGCCAAGGGCTACTGTGGAAATTTTATATCCGGCAATCTGTTCCATAAAAGGAGCCTCAATAACCTTCAAATCACCAGACTGATGCAATAATTCACGGTGTTCCTGTAAGCTGATGGGCAATGCTCATTAATAGAATGATACATTTATTTCGATGCTGCATAAAAGGATGACACATTATACAAATATTGAGTGGCTCAGTGTGGAATGGGAAGAATATTATCGCAAGGTTAAATCTGGACTTTTCCATTTCACGAGGCGAAGCCGAGTGAACTGGAAAAGTCCAGATTTTACTGAGCGATAATATTCCTCCCAATTCACAATTTAAAGCCACTCAATATTTGTTTTATATAACTGACATGTAGATCCTTGTCATTTGATATATTTGAACTTTTTTCAATACAAAACTGGAGGAAAATGTATTTCTCTCTTCCAAACCACCCTTTCACGAAAATGTTTGAACCCAACGCTGTAGCGCTGGCTCTTTGGAACAATACGCGCTTCGCGCAACGCTGAACGCGCACACCAGCATGCATTTGCACACAAATACCGCGTCATGATCCTAACTGTTGAATAGTATACAAATATTGAATGCTTCGAGTGGTGTAGTAAAACTAGCCTCCCGAGGTGATCCATGGACCATTCTATTTTCCTGAGGCGAAGCCGAGGGAAAATAGAATGGCCCATGGATCACCGAGGGAGGCTAGTTTTACTTCACCACCAGATAAAGCATTCAATATTTTTTTATAACACTTCACCCACAGATTCTGCTTGATTTTAATATTTTAAATTATTTAAATCTGAACTAAGTTGAAATAAACTTCAATTTCAATACAAAATTGGTGGAAAACGTATTTCTCTCTTAAAAACTAACCCTTCACGAAATGTTTGAACCCAAGTCTGCCGCGCGCTCTCTTTGGAATAATACGCGCTACGCACAACGCGCAACGCGCACACCAGCATGCATTTGCACACAAATATTGCGCCGTGGAAAAAGTACTTTGGTTGCTAATGGTAAAGTACTTTGGTTGCTAGGCGCATAGTACTTTTGGCCGTGCACAGAAAAATAGCAAAATTAGAAAGTAACATGTGACTCGCTCTCGGCCAATCAAGACACAGAATCTGTGGGTGAGGTGTTATAATATTTCCCATTCCCCATGGGCGGATAGTACTTTTTGAGCCGCGGCATGAATGGGAGCAATAACGAATGCCACGTGATGTGAGTTCCACCAATCAAATGACAAGGATCAGATGTCGGTTATATAAAATGTTTTATAACACCTCACCCACAGACTCTGTGTCTTGATTGGCCGAGAGCGAGTCACATGTTACTTTCTAATTTTTCTATCTTTCTGTGCACGTCCAAAAGTACTATACCCGTAGCAACCAAAGTACTATACCATTAGCAACCAAAGTACTATTTCCACGGCGCGGTATTTGTGTGCAACTGGATGCTGGTGTGTGCGTTGCGCGTAGCGCGTATTGTTCCAACGAGAGCGCACCGCAGACTTCGGTTCAAACATTTCGTGAAGGGGTAGTTTGGAAGAGAGAAATACATTTTCCACCAATTTTGTACTGAAATTGAAGTTTATTTCAACTGTGTTCAAATTAAGATAATTTAAAATACATGTATTAAAATCAAGCAGAATCTGTGGGTAAAGTGTTATAAAACAAATATTGAATGCTTTATCTGGTGGTGAAGTAAAACTATCCTCCCTCGGTGATCCATGGACCATTCTATTTCCCCTCACCTTCGCCTCGGGAAAATAGAATGTCCATGGATCACCTCGGGAGGCTAGTTTTACTACACCACTCGAAGCATTCAATATTGCTTGACGCCAGGGTGAAGCATCAGCTTTTGTTCCCCAGCCTATGGACAGACAGACAATAGCAAGTGACAGACATACATGAAAAGACAGAGCACAGACACCGGCGCAAGACAGCAATCAATACCTAAATTGCCTATTACATTGTTTAAGTATGCAATTGAAAAATTAATGAAAAAGAGAGAGAGTGGATGATGATTTAAAAGAGTCATCCAGACTATTCCAATATAAAGTGCCACGTTGGACAACACTATTTTTGGACAATGACGTTCTACTATAATTAACATACAGATTTTTTCCTTGTAGTACTGTGGGTATTATATGAATGAATTGAGAAGCTAAATTGACCGAACATGGTAAAACATTATAATTAAGTACACAGTATGTGACCAGTACATTAATTTGTTGTCAGTTCATATGAACTTTTAATATATATAAAAATCCAATCAACACTTTCGTGGCCTCTGACCCTTGAAATAATTTTGCTATTCTATGTTGCATTTTACGAGCAAAATACAGGCCGAGTAAAAAGACGCCTTTTTTATCAAAGTCAATTTTCTCAGAAATAGAATAAGGGTGGCCAAAATTTATTTTACCAGAATTATGTCACGGCTAATCTGAATAGATCATGCAAATTTCATTAATGTGGAGCTAATCAATAATTGTAAGTCGTGTTCATTGTGCCTCAATTTATTACCATTCCAAATCCCATTTCAATCCCATTCATAATTATGTGGTCCATACTGATCATTAGGATAAGTGCTGATATGAATCTTAGTGATCTGTGGCATACTATTAATTAATGCTGATGTGAGACGACGGGCCGAATTGTGTATTCACCTCAATGGCCTTCAAGTTGAAGGAAGAGCAGCCAGGCAATGATTTCAGGCAACCAGGATGCAAGGAGGTAAATAGCTGTGTTGGGTATTGCCTATTCCAAGAGCTTGCAATGGTTAAAACATAATGACAATTTATTACATACAACATGAACGTCTTTAAATCTCCTTAAGGCAGCCTAGTTTCTTGGGACTACACTGAGCTTCAGACTCTTCGGAGCAAGGAAGCCCATCTTACCAAGCTTGGGTGGGATCTGAAGAAAAGAAAAGAAAAAAGTCTTCAATATTTCTCAAATGAACGGTATTGGTTGATTATCTTTTAGATCGTTCATAATTTCGCCATAAGCTCCGCCCCCTTTGGTCTGTGTATATTTCTCACAATGTTTGTCGCCATCTTGGACCAAGCTACCGCACTACTTTGATTGGTAGGTAGGAAGGATCCATTAATTTGGGATGGTCTGATACATCTGAAAATTCCTCTAAAGGTTCTAAATCACGAGAAAGGAAGGTCAAATTCCACAGAAATATGTTTGAAAGACAGTTGCAAGTGATCGGAGTTAGGAGTTTTTCCATGCAAACGGCGGTATCAAGCTATTTTAGATTGTATTTTGACTTTTGTTCCAAACACAAGGCATTGGTCAAAATGGAGGAGTTCAGTCCTTCTTTGAAGTTTTTAATTATTTTCATAAGTTACCTCGGTTTCAGAGCAGACATCGAAACGATACTGCTGCATCATACGGACCAGCGCCATCTTGGCTTCCAGCAAGGCAAAGCGCATACCGATGCAGTTACGAGGACCGAAGCCAAACGGCATGTAGGTGCACGGTTTGATGGAGGCCTTGTTCTCAGGGCTAAATCTGTGAAGAAGAAGATGAAATGTGATAACAAAAGTGGAAATGTTTTGGTGTTTTTGTGGTGTATTTTCTTGTGTTGAATATGGTGCAATTTCTGTGTAGCAAAACAATTGCTCTTGATGATGTTGTTCGTTACCTTTCTGGGTCAAATTTGGTCGGATTAGGCCAGAATTCCTCGTCGTAATGTAAGGTCCAGAGACTGACGAACACGACCATACCCTTTTCGATGGTAAGACCTTCGTAGGTAATTGTCTCGTTGCACATACGATCAAATCTGCAAAAGATAAATCATGAGTAAATTATTCAAACCTTTTTTGGTATCAGATAGCTTGAAAATAAAAACGAGTAGTCAAAGTCAGTTCACGATTGAGGTGTTCCTTACATGACTGCTGGGGGATACATGCGCAGTGATTCATTGATCACCATGTCCAGGTACTCCATCTTGCTGATGACGTCATAGCCGAGGTTGTCACGTGTGGGAGCGAGGTTGTCAATCTCAGCGTGTAGTTTCTCTTGCGTGTCTTGGTTGGTAGCCAGCAGGTAGGCAGTGAAGCTCAGCAGCGTGTTGGTAGTCTCATAACCAGCCAGGAAAAAGATGATAGCCTGAAAATTATAAAAGTCAAAACATATCCGAATGAGAATGCAAGAGTCGAATCCTTACCCAAGTGCGAATTCGAAGACAAATTCTGCCTGAGTGCGAATTCAAGAGTCTAATGTCACCAAAGTGAGAATTCAAGGGTGAAGTGCGGCCTGAGTGCGAATCTTAAGTTAATCTTTGAAAATTAAAAGTAGTTCTCTTTTGCTTGTCACTATAAATGTTTGTCCACTGATTTCTATCTGATCCCCTTTACTCAATCAAAACTTACCTTTCAAACAATGTATCAAAATCTGTTCAGGCAACAACATTTGCAAACATCAAAATACAAAACTACCAAATTAATATAAAATGCATTACTGGACTGTTTACTCAGGCTGAATGAAATTGCAAAGTAAAGTGCTATTTTTGTATCAAAACTGGCCTCTTTTGAGATACTGCCCCCAAATTACTACTCTGAGTTGTGTTTGCAATTGATTACACATCTATGAACGGATACAAGCCTTCTAGATTAGTTCCCTGACCATTCAATTCCCCGACACTTGGCTATAAATTGTTCCATTTTAATTTAAGTGGGGTCAGGGAATCAGACAACAAGAACGTGATTAATTTTCTTGGTTTTTCCAGCATCTACGAGCACAAACCTTCAAACAGCAATATTTGCTATAAAATACTATCCCCAAATTCATCCATTTCTGAAAATTGCAGCAAAGCATATGTTGCATATTCTTAACCTTCTATAACAGGTGTTATCACGAGCAGACCTTTTTTTTTTTCGTGCAACGCATTCCTTTTTTTTATCATTCATTATTAAAGTATTTTTCAAATATTTACTGAAAACCGAGGAGACCACTGTCCGATACCATTTTACATCACACAATCAACAAAAAATGTTTTTAGGTAGCTTGTACAAATCCACGTTCTCAATTTCATAATTGTTAACTTTTCTTTTCTCTAATTTTGACACTCAATGATTATTGTTTCTTTTCTCCGAGCTCCACTAACACCCACCTGTGCCATGACGTCCACTGTTGACAGTGGTCTGCGATGGGCGGCGCCTTTTTTCTGACCGCTCTCTGCAGTGGGCGTGTCTTCCTCCTCGTGATCCTCGTCCTCGTGGGCGTTCAGCATCAGCTGCAGCAAATCGATGCCCTGCAAAAAGAAGTCGCATCAAGAGTGTTTTGAAACCAAATAACTGTACAACAGATATGACTCCAATCAAATTCAATCAGATCTTATCGAATCAAATCTAACCTTTGTCGCATCCTGACCCTCCCGTCTGCGCATGTTGCACGCGGCCTCCGTGACGTTCATGAAAAATTTGATAACTTCCGGATCGAACATGTCGAATTTGAGATAATTGAAGACGGGCGACAGCGCAGGGAAGGCGGCTAAAATGAAACAAAAAAAACATATTATATCACAACAGAAGCCGATGATATTTTGTTCACTGGTTGCTTATACGCAGGGAAGGCTTGCAGGTTTTCCTAAGTACAGTTTCAATGAAATTCCAAAACTAAGAATCCAACTCACAGACGATCATGAGAGCGGGATTGAACAGGTTGAAATCCAAGGCCTTCTTGGCGTTCTTGACGAAAGGATCATCCTTGTCCTGCTGGGAATCAACTTTGAGGCCGAATCCACACCTCGCAATGGCGTCCATGGTGAAACCACCAAACAACCTAAAGATAAACAAAACAGGGTGAACGGGGGCGCTGTATAAAACTACACCATTTTCGGGGTACCAACAGACGTGAATCTCGGGTTAATGAAGTTAATGAAAATCCAATCCAAAAAATTGCAAGCTTCCATTTCTAGATTGAAGTAAAGTTATGAGATGTATATGGCATATTTTCATAACAATTTAATTTAGATTCCTGGCGCTCTGGAAGTATACCCACCAAAACAATTAAGTAGTTCATTAACAATGCTTTCCTAGAGCTTTCTTAGGTCCAGTAAGAAAACAAGTCACACGCTAACTCTCAAGGGATGTGAACCAACGACCGCTCAATAAAATTGCAGGAACCCGAACCACATACCTCTTTCAAACTCAAACACAGTAGCGAGTACCATAGCAGGTTAAGCACCTAATAGACGTAAGCACCTAACTGACAATATCCTAATGTTTTTCCTTTGAGTTGAATATTACATTAACATGACATGATAATATTTGGCTTCTATCTTACACTCTGCAGTCGACGGATTTTCCTCCCTCCTGGGCCTTGCTGAAACTTGCCACCAAGGTATCACAACATTCATTGATCGTCTCCGACATCTGCAAAGATTTCATTCAAAGACACAGTTAAACACTGATCAAGGTTTACACCAACTATAATGATGGGTCATGTTATCAATGTTGAGTCAACGTTTTTTCCTGCTTTTGTTAGATCTGAGATCTATGATTGTATAAATTATGATGCACTCGTTAATGAAGTCATCCTCCAAGAGTATAGCAAACTACCTACCCAACAAACAAAAATCGTTGAAGTCATCCTTAATTTAATGTAAAAACATCTACTATTTATTAATAATAACTCTTTTAATTAGTCATTAATTGTATAACTACATGTATTTTGTTTGTAAAGGGGGCAGAATCAGTGCAAGCTTCGGCTTCATGTCTGACCTCCCCATACTATTATTTCAAGTTCCGTTGAAGTTTTTCCCCATGTACAGTATTCAAATTACCTTGTAGTAGGAAAATAACCCAGAACCTGAACCTGAACAAAATAAATCGTTCCATATATGTTTTCAATATTGATAATTTTTTAATATTTTATCACAAATTCTTACCAGTCTCATTTTGGAGGCACTGAACGACGGAGTGATGACGTTGCGTACCTCTTTCCATTCCTCGTTCATAAGCCGAGTCAAGCCTCTGTTCAAGGGCTTTTGCCCAAGTGGGAATCTCTGTCCAAAACAGAATGGAAGGCACAAATATATATTTACTAATGAAACTAACATTGCTTAAGGTGCGATTAAAATATTGGAAAGGGATGGCGTGAATTGATGATAGTTCGGAGGAATAGTTTAAAATTCTTACCCTCCTGTTGTAGAAACTGGAGAAATTCTTGACCAAGACATTTTTCAAAATGTCAGGATCAGTGATGATCAGAAATGGATTTCGAAAACTATACAACCTGAAATAAATATTTTTAAAAAGAAGCATTATCAATTAAAATTGAAGATATAACTGATACACTGTATTTAAAAAAAAAAAAAAAGAGAAATCTGTTACGTTAAATTTGTGTCACATGCGCGATAATTCTACGTACCCGACGACTCTTCCGTGCTTCTTCACGTACTCGGTGAACGTCTTCTGAATTCCCTGAGAACAAAAAAGTGAAAGGATGGAAAGGAATTTATCTAAAAAGTGATGATTCAATATCCCCAAAAAATACTTTCAATTGTAAAAAAATTTGCCAATATTTCCTGCTCATTCGTATAGTAAAATTGCACCAAATCTTGTTGGTGAACGTTACGGCTAAGAAGGTAATAATGTACGCCACAAAACTGTCATCGAAAGTTTGCAGACCCGTTTCGGGTTTTTTTTTAAACTATATACGGCAAGTTTGTTTGCGGTATTTAGTAAAAATCGGTAAAGTCAGGTGGGCAATCACAACATCATGCAACAAAAATAGAGGACAATAATTACCCTTCTATCAGCAAAACATTGAAAATCTTACATGACGAAATTGCAGTAGGTTCCCAAAGAAAGGAATGTAGTCGGCTACAGGGATGCCACGCCTCTGGAAATACTGGTGACACCACCAATCATACCTGAAAATCAAGTGAGGAAAGAGTCACAAATGCTTCCAGTTGGCAAATCTAAAAACATTTAAAAAAAAAAATTAATACAAGTCCAAGGAAATGTTATCGCAAATAATTGCAAAGATTTTCGATAGTATTTGCTACATCGCAAACATTTGCAAACAATTTTTGAAAAGATATTTTTGCGACAAGATTTGCAGCATCGCAAATATTTGCAAAGATATTTGATATAGTATTTGCGACATCGAAATAGTTTCGCAAATATCTGCAAAGATATTTGCGTTGGTGATGTCTCTTCCGGGCCACCATACATTAGCCATTGACCTTTTGGAGGTCGTGCTGCCAAACAGTCACAACAAAAAATTCACTAAAGAGGTCACCGCATGAAACAAAAATAAAAGAATTGACGAGATCATTTAGAAGTACGTACCAAACGGCCAAGAGAACGAACCCAATGACCAGCAGCCAAGTCACTGACACGTCAAATCCTAACAGCTCCATAATGTTTTTGACCAGAAATTCATGCAATCTACCGCTTTTTCTGTTTTCCCTCAGATCATCACGCACCCTGGTGAACCGACACCTGAAAACGAACGCACTCGAAGCCACGCAAGCACAGGTGGTAGAATCCATTTTATTCAAGAGGGGTGTTCAGAGTTTTGTGTTTACAGTGCCCGGTATACAATGGACAGTGACATCATGCGTATTTACAGGATGATTACGCATAAACGGCGTGCAACAAAAAAAATCACATTTGAGCCTCCGATTTTGTCTTCATTGAAATTCTTTTTTCCCGGAACTGGTGGGTATGATTTCATGGATCCACCGAATTACATCAGCTTTGGTTCTTATGATCTATGAGAGCAGCCATAGATAAGTCATTTATACTGAGTCCCCTTTCGTGGCGCACTGCGGCGTTTCCTCTTCGCTAAAAAAATACTTCAATTTCATTTGGTTAAATTAAATACTGGTACAATCACTTTCATAATGCGTGCTGTTGAACCTTTTTGGACAATTGCGGAGCATGAAAATTCAACAAACGGTGGCGTCCGGAAAGTGGGCACATATTCGGCTGAGTGTACTCCAACGTGGCGCACCTGAACAAATCTCGGAAATTCCACATTAACATTTAAGAACTTAGTTGACTTGAAATTCCTATAAATCACGATTATCTCCACTCACAAACCCAACTAAAAGTTTGTCATAAATTAATTTCTTGTTTTGGGCGCATTTTAAAAGGCTTCATTGTGCACTTCAAAATAAAATCGGAAAATTCCGCTAAAATTGGCGTCCGGAAAGTGGGCACATATTCGGCTGAGTGGGATCGTTAACTCAAGAATTGTAAACGGTAGTTTTCAGAGCTAATTGATAAAATTTCAATTACTATGTAATGGGATCGTTAACTCAAGAATTGTAAACGGTAGTTTTCAGAGCTAATTGATAAAATTTCAATTACTATGAAATTTGATGTAAAATTTGCTCTAGGGGCCTATAAGCAAGAAACTAGAGGTCAAGTGCGCCGCGTTAGGGGCCGCGCTATTTTAGGGTTCATCAACAATATAAGAGGTCATAATGCCGTCAATTTATATGACTCCTCCCCTTAAGTTAACAGTGCGCGTGCGCGAGTTCCTTAATATTCGCGATCGATGTTAACTTGGGTCGTTAGGTGATAAATGAGTATCCCATAAGGCCATGCTAAAACCAGGCTGCCCGTCCGGCCATGGGAAGTTCAAAAACGAGACTTGTATCCAAATTACTCTAGACGATGGGCGGAAATTTGACAAATCGTGTCTGTCTGAAGTAGCATGGCTTCAGTCAATATGTCACCTTCAAAATAATCACATATTTAATACCAATCCACTTTTAAAAAGGAGCCCCGTAAAAGGAGTACGTCACTCGTACATCGCCGCGTGCAAGTATTGCGCATGTGCAATTTTCCCCGATTTAGGGGCACGAGTAAACGCGGGGTGAGTAATCGAACACTTGACTTACTTGACTTAAATGCTCAGTCCCATGGGACCCTTGCGCTCCCCTGTTGTAGACAACCACGAATGCCCTCACGGTGAGATGCTCGGCGTTCGGCTGTTGCTATAGGAAGGCCGGTGTCCTCACGAATTTGTGAGATCCACTTCTTTGGAGGTCTGCCACGAGGTCTTGGGTTCGTGAAGTCCTGCCGGTATGCTCTAGCGACATAGCTGTCCGGTGGCCTTCTTGCTACATGGCCAAACCACTTCAACCGCTTTCGCCTGATGACTTCTGTGATCGTGAGTTTCACTTTCAGCTGTTCCCGCACTGTGATGTTGGTGTGTCGATCTCGGAGAGTCACTCCGAGGATAGCTCTCAGACAGCGCATTTCGAAAGACTCCAGCTTACGCTGGTCTTCTGCTTTGAGGGTCCATGTTTCTGCAGCGTATGTCGCGATAGGAAGGATGAGTACTTGGAACAGTCGTACCTTTAAGGGGGTACTGATGTTTCGGTTATTCCAGATTGGTGTTTTCAGTCTCCCGAATGCTGATGAGGCTAGGGAAATTCTTCTTTCTATGTCTTCAGAGCTGCCTGGTACCATGCTTCCGAGGAACACAAATTTACTCGTGGAGTCTAACTGTATCCCATCCAGAGTGATTGTTTCATCTGATGGAGATAAGATTCTACATTTCGCTCCATTAATTTTCATGCCCCATTTCTTACATGCTTCATCTAGCTGCTCTGTTGAGAGTCTGAGTTTGTCGAAGGTGGCTGCCAGCAGGGTTGTGTCGTCCGCATATCTGATGTCTATGCAGCAGGAGTCAGTGAGGTTTAAAGAGGCGTCTAGCTCTTTCAGTTCTTTCATGACAAACTCGAGGAAGATGTTAAACAGCGTGGGGGAGAGATGGCATCCTTGTCTTACTCCTACCCTCACCTCGAACCAGTCCGTGATTTGACCCTCTATCACTACTGCGCACTCGGTGTCGTTGTACAGACCTTCTATGATGCGTACTATCTTCGGGTCCACCCCAATGGCCAGCATCATCTTCCAAAGGGCTTTCCGCCAGATTGTGTCGAAAGCCGCTTTGAAATCGACAAAGTCGAAGTGCAGAGGCACGTGGTGTTCTCGGGCTTTCTCCATCACTTGTCTGACAATGAATATTGCATCGACAGTACCTCGACCCGGTCTAAATCCAAATTGGCTTTCTCCTATTGCTTCTTCCGTTTTCCTCTTCATCCTGCTGAGAAGAACTTGACTAAAGACTTTACCAGGTATTGACAGTAGAGCAATGGCTCTGTAATCGAACACGCTCTGTAATCGAACACGCTCCCTGTAAATATGCATGACGTCACCGTCCTTGGAACTATGAATGAGTTATAAGTGTAAACATAACTTTGAACACCCCTCTTGAGTAAAATGGATTCTACCACCCGTGCCTTATGTGGCTTCTTCGATTTGCAGGTGGGGGATCTGAGTGCAAGCATAAACCAGGGTGCGTGATCTGACGGGAAACACGAAAATTATTGCCAAATTGAGCGGTACTTTGTCGGAATTTGCAGTCAAAACATGGAGCTGTTAGGATTCGACTTGTCTGTGACTTGGCTGCTGGTCATTGGTTTCGTTCTCATAGCAGTTTGGTACGTACTTCTAAATGATCTCGTCAAAATTCCTTTTATTTTTTCACACGCAGTGCTGACTTCTTCAAACTCTTCCTGATGTCATGTGACTATTTGGCAGTATGCACACATCGATTGTCGAACCGTCGTCGCACTGGTGGTGTTCACTCAACCATGATACGCGATCGATGCCTTCAAAGGTCCAATAATGCGGTAGAGTTCATTTGTTTCAATGGGATCTTGGCCGTGCAAGCACCTCGGCGTACCATTTACCTTTACTTTTACTATATGAATAATGCCATAAATTTCAAAGGGGATCTAGTTTTTTTTATGCGTATACAATGTTATCTATAAGGTCGTCCATTGAAGATCTTTTTTCATTCCTCCGTCCTTGGGCAGACACAGTTAATTAGTGCATGTTGTTCGATTACACACAAAAAATATTGCCAGAAATGTTTTAGCTTCAATCCTTTTATTCGTATTTCGTGCTTCTAGATGTATAATATGTAAAATAGCAAAAGTAAACCCAATAACTCACAAGGTCACGAAGGCTGACTTATGATTTTAGAGAGACACTTGTACCGCTGTGGTTGTGTGGAATTCATTTTATGACTCTTTGAAGTTATCATTTCATGACTAGCACAATTTGTTGGAGTACTGCTCTATGTTCCGACACCCCTATGTTCCGACACATACCCCTATGTTCCGACACCCCTGCACATGTCATGTGTACTCCTGCATGGCTACGTCAGGGTTTCGGGGATACTTGTAGGGATAGGGATAGGAATATGTGCAATCGGAACATAGGTGTGTCGGAACATAGGTGTGTCGGAACATAGCTGTGTCTAACATACTAGTGTGTAACCGTGACGACTGCTTTAGAATTGGACGTTGTCTAACTGTCACTGGCAACCTAAGCCCGTTAAAGCACTTCGTCTGTTATGTTTGCGTATTGAATAAACGGCATGGCTATTGTCAGCAGCAAGGTCATTAGGTCAAGTTGATTGCATTCAGCTGGAACAATTCCAACCCGAGCTTTTCCTGAGGTTTTTTTTTATTATTCGAAATCTCGGCTTCATTCCGGAATTGGTTACAGTAGACTTTTAGGCCCCTGAGTTCGGGAGACTAGTCCAGCCAGTAATTCATATTTAGCATGCTCAAGGAACTGCAATTCCTTATTATCAGGCCGAAGCTGGAAGAATTTCCTGCAGCAAGATATATAGATATGAAGCCGAATTGATGACAAGGCCCAGATTTGGAACACCCACAAGCATGCGCAGTATAGCGCTCAAACCTCAGGTTGGTATCAAACCTGGTTTCCTGGTGAGCCGTCAAATTTGTCCGGACTTCGTGCAAATGAACACAATGAATAATATTGAAGCAACCTTCGTTGTATACGCAAACGGTGTTATACATGTATTAATTTTATCAACAAAATGAGCGTGCACTTACTTGTCTTTACCCCATTTCTGATTTTGATTTAGAGTTTTGCCAAGTTAGAGGCCTGTGCAAAACACCGAACTCTAAAATCAGCCATACTCATATTTTTTCCATAAACCAAGTGTATCTTTTAAACTCTTGACAATTCGTTTTTGCTAGAGGCGGCTGGTAGGCAATATTTTCATACCAGTCTGTTTGTCCGTTACTGACAAAGTGAGGCAGGATTTTTTTCCAAACCCACTTTCTTTCTCATCATTTTAATGGCATGGAAACTTTGCGAGTCACAACCAAACAAACTGAAACAAATTGAACTCTTTAACTGCATCGACATTCGTCCGCACTTTTGTTGATAGTTAACACACACTTTGTTATAGATCCATTATTCCTTGGACTTGTATCAATGTATTTTACAAAATATTCTGTTATAACAGATTTTAAGAATCGGAAGCAATAACTTTTTCCCTACTTGATTTTCAGGTATGATTGGTGGTGTCACCAGTATTTCCAGAGGTGTGGTATTCCTGTAGCGGACTACATTCCTTTCTTTGGAAACATACTGCAATGGCGTCATGTAAGAATTCCAATGTTTTGCTGATAAATCTTGTCCTCTATTTTCGTTGCGTGATGTTGTGATCGCATCATGTGACTTTCCCGGAGTATTTCCCCTGGTATTCCTTAACTAATGAGTGACTATCTGTAAATACCGCAAACAAACTTGACGTATTTTCCAAACACAAAACGGGCCCGCATGCATAATGCCGATCACGTTTTTTGGGCTTGTAATATTACCTTCTTAGCACAATGTTCAACAACAAGATTTGGTACAATATTTTACTGCGAATGTGCAGGAATAGTTCCGAAACATGTTATTGTTGAAATTATTTTTTACAGATATAATTAACCTTTTTGGAGGGAGATAAATGCATTTCAATCTATTATATGTTTTGTTTGCAGGGAATCCAGACGACTTTTACCGAGTATGTGAAGAAACATGGACGAGTCGTCGGGTACGGAACATTAACTGCCGCGTCGTATACCTTTGACCTATAGGCCTGATAGGGACTTAAATATCTAAATTTGTTTAAAAAATAAATCAAAGTTATCATCATAACTTATAAATCCTATTTCTTCTGTTTATTTATTCCAGGATGTATGATTTCCGACGTCCAGTTCTGATTATCACTGATCCAGACATTTTGAAAAATGTCTTGGTCAAGAATTTCTCAAGTTTCTACAACCGCAGGGTAATAAAACTCAACTTTTCCATTGGTAAAAAAAGTCATTGGTTTTGTGTTTTCCATTTCCAATCCCTCACTTGAGCATTCAGCATTGTACGTTTTAAGAAAGTTATTTCGTCTTCCATATTGTGTTTTGGGCAGAAATTGCCACTCGGGCAAAAGCCCTTAAACAGAGGCTTGAATCAGCTTTTGAACGAAGAATGGAAAGAGATACGCAACGTCATCACTCCGTCATTCAGTGCCTCCAAAATGAGACTGGTAAGACTTTGTCAAAACATTTTCAAAATGTGTCGAAAGTATAAAGGACGAGCAGTTTGTTGGGATGTTGGGGTGTTGGGGTGTTTATTTGTTTGTTTGTTTGTTGGGGTGTTGGGGTGTTTGTTTGTTTGTTTTCTTTTTGCTTTGCTGCTCTTTTATTTCCAAATAGTGAAATGCACCCTATCCAAGTGAAAATTCACTTTTATCAGCTGAAACTAGGGACCAGACGTCTCAGCGACTTTTTTTCAGAGAATTTCACTCAAAAAATATAGAGTGATTTTAATCTACTCGTACCGTCGAGTCCTACAGTTTTATACTATTTGAAAATTGGACAGTACGTCGGTTTAGGGCAAAACCCAGTATTGAATTGGATTTTGTATTTGTTGGGTAGGTATATCTTCCCACATAGTCACTCTTGGAGGACGACTGTATTAAGGAGCGCATCAGAATTATATCATAGATGTCAGATGAAACAAATGTGGATCCCATTTAAAGAATGACCCACACAATTGCCTTAAACCTTGAAAATGAAATCTTTGCAGATGTCGGAGACGATCAATGAATGTTGTGATACCTTGGTGGCAAGTTTAAGCAAGGCCCAGGAGGGAGGAAAAGCCGCCGACTGCAGAGTGTAAGATAGAAGCGACATAATCATGTCATGTTAATTAATGTCATATTCAACTAAAGGAAAAACACTTGAATATTGTAATACACGAAATCCTTTACCTTCCGACGAAGTCTACTTAGCTGTGGTACTCGCTGCTGTGTTAGAGTTTGACTATCCAGGATAACTCGGACAAGAAAAGTGGTAGAGTGTTTAAGACTCCTGCACTTTTATCGAGCGGTCGTTGGTTCACGTCCCTCCAGAGTTAGTCTGTGACTCATTTTCTTACTGACCCGTGGAAAGCTCTAACTCCATATTTGCAAATAAATTGTGTGAACTTTTGGATGAGTAAATTTTCCAGAGCGCCAGGAATACAGTGTCAATCGTCAGGAAAATAGAACAAAACAGTTTTCTCGTTTCGAACAGTAGAAATACCGTATGAAGAAATGTCGTAATTTTACTTCAAACTAGAATTGGAAGATTGTAACTTTTACAATTGGAATGGCAAAATAGTATCATAAAAATAGTGTCTTTATAACCCGAGGTTCACGTCTGTTGCTACCCCCAATATGGCGTCGTTAAGTAACAGCGCCTCCATCCACCTTATTTGCTTATCTTTAGGTTGTTTGGTGGTTTCACCATAGACGCCATTGCCAAGTGTGGATTCGGCCTCAAAGTTGACTCCCAGCAGAACAAGGATGATCCTTTCGTCAAGAATGCAAAGAAGGCCTTCGATTTCAACCTGTTCAATCCCGCTTTCATGATCGTTTGTGAGTTGGATTCTTTGGAAGGCAACTTCATTGAAACCGTTCTTTTGAAAACTTGCAAATCTTTTGATGAAAAAAAAAGAGCTTAAGAGGCATAGCCATAAAGCTGATTCAGCCCTATGCTCTGGCCAGTCTTCGTCTACGAAATTCCGTCTTCTGTCTCCTAATTCTGTATTCTGGTACCCAGACATACCCATAAGCTGTTTCAACCGAATGGTCTGAGGTATATTTATACAAGACCCGGTAGAATTGAGTTCTTGAGAATAAAATAGGAATGAAACTGGGTTTCTTTTGTGACAAAAGATGATTTTTATTTTTTTATTTCAGCCGCCTTCCCCACTCTGGCACCCATCTTTGCTTATCTCAAATTTGACCTGTTCGACCCGGAAGTTGTTAAATTTTTCTTGAACGTCACGGAGGCCGCCTGCAACATGCGCAAACAGGAGGGTCAGGATGCGTCAAAGGTTAGATTTGATTTGATAAGATCTGATTGAATTTATGTCTTTTGAACAGTTAGTTGGTTACTAAACACCCTTGATGCGACTGTTATAGGCTTAGGCCCAAAAAAAAGTCTCCAGTTTCTGGTATGGAGCTTGCCCAAATAGTGGTGCGGCGACGCGGCTTTTTTTTTTTTTTTACCTGATTTTTTTGCTTCAAATGTCGGCTGATGACTGCAAATGGTGCCCGACTAAACTTAGTGCCCGACTAAACTTATAACCCAATCTAAAAACACGTTAAAATTGTGCAGCAGCAGGATTCCAGTCAAACCAGTGAGTTTGGCGGTTTTGAGACATCATCTTTCATTGAAAAAAAACCTTTTTTCATTTTGCCGACGCGCATGGCTACGGCGACGCGCGCGCATACCAGAAACCGGAGATTTTTTTTTTGGCCTTATATCGATGTTTTTCTTTTTATAGCACATCGATTTGCTGCAGCTGATGCTGAACGCCCACGAAGACGAGGAACACGAGGAGGAAGACACGCCCACCGCAGAGAGCGGTCAGAAAAAGGGCGCCGCCCATCGCAAACCACTGTCAACAGTGGACGTCATGGCACAGGTGGGTGTTAATGGAACTCGGAGGAAAGAAAATAACAATCTTGAGGTGTCAAAATTGTGGAAAATAGTTAAAACTTATGAAATTGAGAACGTGGATCTGTAGAGTTACCTTAAAATGTTGATTTCTGTGAGATTGTATAATGTTATTTGATAATGGCTTCTTCGGTTTTCAATAAATGATGCATGCATTTGAAAAATATTTCATGATAAAAAAAGGATCAAGATATAGTTTACGTGTGTGGGCACGAAATACAAATAAAAATCCTGCTCGTTATAATGCCTATTAGAGATTCACAGAATCATCCTCAGTATGACTAGAAGGTTAACACAGTTTTGTACGAAAGAGACTGTAATAATAACTACAATGTATCTTCTTTCAAAGTTAACTTTTAATTAATTGAGAGGGTTACAAACAATGGACAATTTATTCGTCAAGCAAAAGAGAACAGGGTTGTATCTTTCAAATATTTAATTACTGATTCGACCCAATTTCTACTTTGAACTCGCACTTGGGCCACATTTGACTCTTCAATTCGCACTCGGGCATGGATTTGACTCTTGCATTCTCATTCGGATATGATTTGGCTTTTATGACCTCAGGCTATCACCTTTTTCCTGGCTGGTTACGAGACTACCAACACACTGCTGAGCTTCACTGCCTACCTGCTGGCTACCAACCAAGACGCGCAAGAGAAACTGCACGCTGAGATTGACAACCTCGCTCCCACACGTGACAACCTCGGCTATGACGTCATCGCCAAGATGGAGTACCTGGACATGGTGATCAATGAATCACTGCGCATGTATCCCCCAGCAGTCATGTAAGGAACACTTCAATCGTGAACTGACTTTGGCTATTTGTTTTTCTTTTGAAAACTATCTGGTACAACTTAAAGGTTTAAATAATTTACCCATGATTCACCTTTTACAGATTTGATCGTATGTGTAATGAGACAATTACATACGAAGGTCTTACCATCGAAAAGGGTATAAACGTGTTCGTCAGTCTCTGGACCTTGCACTACGACGAGGAATTCTGGCCGAACCCGACTAAATTTGACCCGGAAAGGTAACAAATCCGTCTTCATGCCTTACTGGAAGTTCCATACGATAATTGGTCTTGAGTGTCTGTTTCATAGGCAGGAGCCTTTACAGGAACGTACGTTCATATTAATAGACCGTCAGGGTATATCAGACGACAACGGTTTTCACAGATTTTTGAAAATCGTTATTGGAGCATTCTGTTCAAGTGCTTCAGTTTTCCTTCTGCGTATGCCTAAATTTTAAGAAAGATTTGTGGAGATTTTGTTTTTAAATTCAACTTCTTTCAGCGCCGTTCCTGTGTATCAGATGAAATATAATTCGAAATAACAGCACTAAGGCCTAAAAAAAAAAAGTGTTATGTTGGCGTAACCCGACCGACCCTAAAAATGCGGCCGACCCTGGATATTTTTATTTTTTTTTGAAGGGAAGAAATATAATTAAAATCTATAGAAATGAATTTTAAATACGTTTTGAAACCATTTCTGACCGTTTCTCCTCAATTGTATGACGATAGCGCGCTTGGAACTTTGGAGTGCACAATGTTTTGCACCTTCCTCTCCATGACACAACGAACATGCAGAAGATCGCGCAGGCCTACAGGCAGTGCGCGTGCGGAGATCGATGCACCATGCATGCATGATAGATGCACATGTACATGTACAGTACATGTATAGCCTCGTCCTAGGCTGTTGCACGGCGCGAACTGCTACATCCACTATTGAAAATACTTCGCTATTTATTGCATGTTAAAAAAAATAGTTCATTATAATATAAATTATTTTAATTAATTTTCCACTATTTTACACGATAACAATTGATATATATTTATTCTAAAAATGGTAAACTATTCTGTAACCCCGGCGGCCGACGCGACCCGGCCGGCCCGGACCGTCCCCGGCCCGTGGTTACGCGCGTACGCCGTCGCATCATGGCGCCCGGTACCGAAGCGTACAGTGTTTTAAAATGGGGATCTTTGGTCATTTTCGACCGTTTAATGCGGATAAATTTGAGTCTAGAGCTGGGGGTAATCGCCCAGAGCTGTGCTGATGGTGTAAAAGCGGGTTACACCGTGCTAAAAATACAAACTTCAAAGGAAGAATCGGGTTCATATAAAGATGTCGATGCAGATGAAACGGCTAACATTTTGTCTGATTTTGGATTCCGCTTTTTGATATGTACCTTTGGAAAGGTTGATGATGACTTTAAAAGTATACAAATATTGTGTGTAGCCTTGTTTTCTTTTGTTATCGTGTACTACTACCGGCTTAATGTCATTTTCGTTGCTGGGATAAAAAACAAAAAAACAAAAACAAAAACAAAAAAAAAAACACCGACCTACCTACCCTATTTTTTCTGGCCCGTTACGCCAACATAACTTTTTTTTTTTAGGCCTAAGAGCAAGCAAGACAATCTACCATATTCAACACACAGAAGTACACCTATAAAAACGCGAAAAGTAATTGCACTTTTGTTAACAAAGTTTTTGAGATTTTAAAAATGTCAATGTTTTCTTCACAGGTTCAGCCCTGAGAACAAGGACTCCATCAAACCATGCACCTACATGCCGTTTGGCTTTGGTCCTCGTAACTGCATCGGTATGCGCTTTGCCTTGCTGGAAGCCAAGATGGCGCTGGTCCGTGTACTGCAGCAGTATCGCTTCGATGTCTGCTCTGAAACCGAGGTAAGAACACAGTGCTTCAAAGAAGGACTCAACTCCTCCATTTTGACCAATAACCAGCAAAGACGTGGATGCGAACACAATGCTCTGCATTGTTTGTAGAAGAAAGGTCCGAACATGCAATCCAAAATGCATGAAAAATTTAGTCTTTTCTTGGGCATCTTAACACCGTTTGCATGGAAAAACTCCCAACTCCAAACACTTGCATCTGTCTTTCGAACATATTTTTTTGGTGGAATTTGACCCTTCTTTCTCGTGATTTAGAGCCTTAAGAAGAATTTTCAAAAGTATCAGAATATCCCAAATTGTTATGGACTCTTCTTGCCTGTCAATAAAACTGTACGCATTGACCAATTGGATCACGACTTATGGTTAGGTATAAACCGCGGTAGCTTGGTCCAAGATGGCGACAAGCATTGTGAGAAATATGCACAAACCAAAAGGTGGGCGGGGTTCAGGGCCAAATTATAAACGATCTTAAAGATAATCAGCAATATCGTTAACTTGAAATTATATCTAAGGGAAGAAATATTGAAGAATTTGTGATTTTTCTTCAGATCCCACCCAAGCTCGGTAAGATTGGTTTCCTTGCTCCGAAGAGTATGAAGCTCAGTGCAGTCCCAAGAAACTAGGCAGCAACCACGGACGATAGAAAGAGAGACTTCTCTCTGATCTCTGCCTTAAGATGATTTAAAGACGTTCATGTTATAATGTCATTATGTTTTCATCCATCCCTCATTTGGTAAAATGTTAGGGTTAGGCATGTGTGCCACTTTTGTGGAATTAATAGCAGCAAGTTAATTTTGAAGCTCCATACTCTTCGATGTATTTTGCTCGTAAAAAGCTACATGTACATAGAATTAGTTGGTAAAAATATTTCTTGGTCGTCATTTACTTGAATGCCTTTCAATAGTTTTCTTAGCTATTGATTTATTATAAAATACATCTGTATTTTCAGACTGCGGTATCTGTTCTGGAATCATGTTTTTAGGGAAACCAAGACAAAATTCGTGTCAACAAAATATGACATTTTACCCCAAAAAGTAGTTTAGTTTAAAATGCCTTTACTTACTTGCTGGAATAGATATAAAAAGCGGTGTAGCTAGGGGTTGAGATATGGGTTTCAGTTCTATTCAATGTCGAATTTATTTTGATGAAAACTATTTTTTAGTACAAATTTAATAGTTATTTGAGTCGGCAAGAATTTCAGCACTTTGATAAAATAAATTGTGTGCCTCACTTTAATACGCCTTTCATCTCGACAACAAAGATAATACTAAGATTAATGTTTAAATACTTTCTTGTACTTTTTGTTGCAACTTTGCATAATGTCACGTACTTAAAATATCTATGTTGGCCCGTTCGGTATAATTCAAAATTTTGTAAGTGTAAAGGCTGTGTGTTTCAGGGTAGATATTTTACATTTTCATATTTTTTAATAAATCGAATTGTTTTTTAACTTTGTATGATTGTACAATACATCAGTGTTGCTGACAATATTCATCGGCATTGAGTACCGTTGTGGAAATTAGATTATATTACTATATAGCTTTATGTTTTACTGATCTTTACAATACTAATATTTGTATGATGTTTATATTTACACTGTTCGACAGGTGTCTTTTAACATCACCGTTGTGATTTTAGTAGAGATTATGAGTAAAGGGTTAGAGGCCACGATAATTGCTAAAAGTTCAATTGCAACAAAAACTGACAAGAAATTATGTACTGGTCACACACTGTGTACTTACACATAAATAATCATGTTTAAACATAATGGTCAATTGAGGTGCTCAATAGCCATTATGTTTCAGGCATTCAACTTTTCCTCGGATCAGCTGATTTCCTCCTTTTTTACTTCCCATGTGTGTCATTGAAAATAGAAAAACACTGTACAAGGTCTTGGAAAGATTTGAATTTCCTCTTTTTTTGTGACTTACAAGTTGCATGCCTGTATGTTTGCCCATCAGCTTACAGGAACACGGTTGAGTATTGCATCAGTCGAAAATTGCATAAGCCAAAAATTGCATAAGCCATACTGCATCTTCTTATCCGTGCATTGAACTCTAAAATTATGTTTGTACTCTAAAATTACATTTGTCTTTGCAAGACGATTACAAAATAATTATAGATTAAGACCATTAAGACAACAATGGTCCGTAAGACTTGATAAATAAAACGGCTTATAGAGTTCTTTTCTTCGAAATGTGTCTTTTGTCCAACTCAACATAATTTTCCTTTGTGAATAAATGCAGAGAATCCTTAAAGTTTCATAGTGATTTACATGAAGGTATGGAGTTAAACTGCCGGGCTTCCGATTCACCACCTGCATGCCGTGCTGTGAAGTCGTGGGGTGGCGTGTGCTGATTCGAGCCCGCCTATCGGACTGCCCAAGGGCTGCTGTGGAAAACGTATATCCGACAATTTGTTCCATAAAAGGAGCCTCACTAATCTTTCATAAATTCCCCAGACTGATGCAATACTGGTTTCCCTGAAAGCTGATAGGCAAACAAGTTTATTTAGAAGCATAAGTTGACCAAACATGGTAAAACGATGATTCACTTCCAGGAAGAGCACATTTTGTACACAGTGTATGTATAACCATGGAGGCTACCTCCATGGTGTAACCAATGCATCATTTTTCGTCAGATTTTATTTCATGTGGACTTTAAACACTTACGAAATCCTATTAATGTTATCATGACCTCTGATCCTTTAGGCCCTAACTCTTCCTGGTGGCTGCCCTCTTTCTGTTTTCCTTGCCCACCGCGGCATGCGCAGTCAACGGTATGGGCAAGTCCTCAAAAAGTCCCCATCTAGCCTCAAGTCAAGTCACAAGCTTCTCAAATTAATCGTAACAAAGATATTTCTTTGTTATTGTTACTTTGACCGGACTTGTTAATGAACTTGTGGTTTGCAGCCTGTGACTTGATTTGTGATGGACTCGATCGACTTACAAAATTGTGCATGCGCAAGACACTTCTGGAGGCTTGATCAAAAAGCCGTCCATTTTCGACTTTATTTGATAATTTTTAGCTCATCAAAGGTCGCACTGCATCATTGGCAACCCAATAAGGACCGGTCTTAATACGGAGAGAAAGCGTGGTGACCAAATATGGTGCTCGGGACTGGCACGTTTTGTTGACTGAAGCTATCAGTAGTATTCAAACATTTGTAGTTGCGTTATTTGTGTTGGTTTATCCATAGACAGATTACATGGTTTATTCATTGAACTAATAACTGCATGCAGCAGGACTGTGTGCACAGTCACCGTGCATTAGTGAGTCAGCTTTGCTTGTCTGGCATATGAATTTGTTATTGTACACAGTAACTTCAGATTTTGTGGTCAGAAGACTTCCCACTGCAGCAAGTTCCATTTTAGTATCATTATTGTTCAAGTTGCCTAAGCAAACTGACTGCAGCGAGATTTGAACCTGCGACCTCCAAACCACCGTACCGGCGTTCTATCTACTGAGGCCAGTAAAGTGACGTTCTTATTCATTTTTCAATCCCATCTAGAGGATGATTGTTTCTGATGGTTCGGGAGAGCCAGCCTACTCCAGCTCCCCGACTGAGTGAGCCCAGGAAAAAATCTGATCAACTAAGAAAAAAATGGCCAATTGACTCTATATAAAGCTGGCCAGCTGCTAATGTCGATTCTTTGGGTCCAGCCCGACTATGAAAGGCTATTTTGACCAGTACTAAACAAGACTATTATGATCTGAAAACACGTGCGGCCCGCATTTCGCCCCTTGTGACCGCCCCCTCCCCCGGCCCCACCCCCCCCAAAAAAAAATCGAGCACATACGATTGATTCCTCATGCGCGATGTGTGCTAGAGGAGCGGATCTAGCTTCCTGGAAACGGGGGTGGGTGGTATGAAGGGGGTGGGTAAGTGAAGGCGTGCCAAAGCTAAGGGTCGGGGAGCATCCCCGGGAAATGTTTGAAATCTACGATGCTTTCTCCTGCCTTCTAGCTTCAGCTTTCCATTTATTATTGTGGCCTCATTTTACTAGTATCATAACATTTGTCAGAGGCTGAACTGGGGGAGGGGCTAATTCCCAATAACGATACTTTAATTTCGTCCCCGAACATCGTCGAGCTCAATTCCAGATTTCAATGTCAATGGAATAAGCAACCTATACACCGTACACGGCCGGTCCTTTCTGATGATGCACGGTTGGTTTTGCCGAGCGACAACGGTTTAATAAAAACACGAAATGTTACTCGATTTCCTCTCTGATTTCTGACACGTTGATCTATTTCTGATTGTAGGGATACGCAGAAGGTGCTAGTTGCATTATGAATCCTTTGCAAGAATTAAAGTTGTGAAAAGCTAAGAAAAATCAAGCAATCTAAAGCCCGAATACACGACCGTTTCACACAACGCGAACAGTGCTGCAACTCGCAAGTTAGAATAATAGAATTGTATTTTTTCGCATTTGTTAGTGTTGCGGGTACCAACTGAATGCAGAGGGCGCACTTCAACTACGCGTCAGTGAAATAGTAACGAAATAGAGGGCGCACTTCACATTTTACGGTACTCGCAGGTAAATTCTGCACGTATCAACTAGTACAGAGGGCGCACTTCAGTCACAAGGCGGTGAAGCAGAGACAAAATAGGGGGCGCACTTCACATTTAACGGTCCGATCCGCGAGCTGCTTTCGCGCAACCACTTGAAATAGTCTAGGTTGTCCCAGTTATTTTAACACTTATGTCACACAAATTCCCTTGCGGGAGGTTATACCTACATCCCTGAGCAGACCTCAGTTTGATCTGCATGCCGTTTATACTTCGAACAAATTTTGGGCAAAAAGATTATGTGGCTTGTCAGGGAACTGCCGTTGTATAGTTGACCCAACTAAGTTTCATCCAGTTTTTAAACTATTAATTTTTGAATGCTCCCTCCTCTTGCTTATGCATTTCCTCTGTTCTCACAAAGGTTCAAAGTTAGATGATGCTGCCCTGGCACTTCACCCCGAGAGTGTCAACAAAAACCCGATATACATGGAGTCGAGTGATAAGGTCACTATCTGCGCCGCATCAGCCTTATCTTGCTCAATGAACTACAACATTGTCAGCTAGCATTTCATCGATCAAGTCGCAGTGAAACTTGATGAAAGGAAACACAGAAATGCCTAGAACTTTGTCAACCTTTTATTGCAAAGAATGGTACTGTCAGAATTTAAATGACCAAAGCGCTAAAATGAATGACAACAAAACGAACTTGCTTTTTCAATACAACACAGATCGCCAAATGAGAAGAATTTACCGAAATCAGGACGGATAAGAATGCTACAAATTGGTGATATAAGTGTTAAAATAACTTGGAAACTGACCGAGACTATTTCAAGTGGTTGCGCGAAAGCAGCTCGCGGATCACACCGTTAAATGTGAAGTGCGCCCCCTATTTTGTCTCTGCTTCACCGCCGCGTGACTCAAGTGCGCCCTCTGTCTGTAGTTGATACCCGCATAATTTACCGTGGAATATGAAGTGCGCCCTCTATTTTGTAACTATTTCACTGAAGTTGTTGAAGTGCGCCCTCTGCATTTAGTTGGTACCCGCATTGTCCGTAATACCAACGAATGCGAAAAAAATAAAATTCTATCAAGCTAGTATAGTACAGTAGGAGTTGCGCTTTGCATGTTCGCGTTGTGTGAGACGGTCGAGGATTCTGGCTTTAGATTGCTTGGTTTTTCTTAGCATTTTACAACTTCAATTCTTGCGAAGGATTCATATTGCAACTGGCACCTTCCGCGTATCCCTACAATCAAATATGGATCAACGTGTAGAAATCGGAGAGGAAATCGAGTAACATTTCGGGTTTTTTATTCAACCGTTGTCGCTCGGCAAAACCAACCGTGCATCATCCGAAATCACCGGCCGTGTGTTGCTCATCGACCGCTCGGAGTTTTTCGGTTTCTCCGCTTGAGAATCGTTCAACGGAACAGTCATGGAAGTGAATGCGGAGAGAGACTGTAGCGTCTTGGGGGGACTGTTCCAGACCATCATCAATGACATGAAAGTAAGTCTACTGTTTGGCTGTACTTTTTGTACAATTCATTGTATTGACGCCTTGGTTTAAAGAAATTTATGCATTTCACAATTTGCCTTGTCAAAACCATGACTTGCTAGTTTTTAATTTGTTGAGTGTGGAAAGGTTATGTTAAACTTTAAGTTTTTGAAACGAACGTTGCAACCTGACATCACGTTTTTCATCATATATATTGTCTTAATGACGGTCAGTCATTGCAAAAATGTTGAAAAGAGACTGAGAAACATTTCCAATTGTGTTACTGTTAGAAATTAGGCCTACTTTGAAAGTTCACTCGACCATAAACTTTGTACACAACCAAAGAAGTGTCGTCTTGATACTTCATTCTTTCGTAGTTTGTAGTTAGAAAACTTCTCTGAATGACCTTAATGCAATATGTGTTGTAGCAGTTATTTATATTTGAAAAGTTAAAGACAATCTCAAATTTTGAGGGTTTGGTTTTGTATAAATTACATGTACGTGCAAAACCACTTTTTAAAATTAATAATTGCCACAGCAACATTGGTATCACACTACAGTATAGTCTGGTGTGGTGTGCTTGTTCCTTTAGTCGTGGTCTAAAGTATGTTTTAATGTTTTTAGTAAACCATCGATCAACAGGAAATTCCCTAGGTTTGCATTCAAAATACAGATCTTGACAAGGATTTTATTTGAATCCAAATATTACGATATACTTACATCTAAGTCTAAAGTATAAATACTAGGGATATTAACTGAAAATAAAGAAAAAAATACATTTAATCTTAGTTCGTGTGCTGCCCTTTGGAAAAATTTATAAGCGCTGCATTAATAGGCCTAAGTAGTGCAGCACTGTCTTCCTTTACTTTGGGGAAAAGACATTAAAAATCTTCAAAAACATAATGATAATGATAGACATCATGTCAAGATTTTTAATTAAAAGGGTGTTTCTAATTTTGTATGAATGCCTGCATTTTTATGTTTATATGCAGAAAACATGTGCTCCACAGTTGGTTTGATATTGTGGTTTGAAAAAATGTTCACTTATTTTTGTATGAATGCCTGCATTTTTATGTATATATTCAGAAAACACAGGTGGTCCACGGTTGGTTTAATATTGTGGTTTGAGGAAATGTTTATTGAATACAAGTGTGTAAATGGTCTTAATCCCTTTTTGTCACCGATGGTACACATACAACTCAGCATGTGCAATCTGCAGTGACATCTGGCACAAGTTAAACAAAGGTTTAAATCCCAAACTTGCTTGCCTGCAGTCTTGCCACTATGCCCAGTGTGACATCAGTCTTTTGTTAGTTCAAGAACTTAGAGACAATGACTGAATAACACAGAGACAGGTGCACCTGGACTGGGCCATTGTCATCCAAGTCATTAACCCCTTTTGTCCTTGTTGACCCAATGTTTGGGCCCAACAAGAGTACATATTATGTGCCTTCAATAACTTATTATTATCAGCTTGTCTCAACAAAGTACAAACTATTATAGGATAAACCACACTGACTATGTACACTTTTAAGGCTGTGTCGGAATCAATGGAAGCCACTGGCTAGCGGCTGTGGCTACTTCCCATAGACTTGTGTATTATTGCCAGCCGTAGCCAAGAGATTCAAGCATGGTCTAACTTTGAGCAAACATTTGTCTGGAAATGGAATGGGATATGAATCCGGGACCTCTGGAATACCGCACTGATGTTCTAAGTACCGATTTTATTTATTGTATATGTACCACCGATAAAGGAAAACCTTGCTACATGTGTACAAAGAGATATGAATATCGATTCATTGATTGATTTTATTGTCATACATATTCCGACCAAAAGGCCATTTGTTACAATTAAAATCAAGAAGTGAGGTTCTTAAAAACTCAGTTATTGAAAGAAATTGACACTCTGCGTGGAATAGCTCAATATTCATCTTTTTTTGGGGGGGGGGGATTTTTGGTGTAAATTTCACCATCTGACCTTAGCATTTCAAGTACAAATACTGGTTATGTGTCCTTGTTTGGAATGAACTGGTAAGGCACTAGTACACGTGAACCTATTAATTAATTAATGTATGAGCATGCCATTGCCAAATACGTAGGTCCACGTGCATATTGATGTTCGACTGTATTGATTCGATGCGCACAACAAACACATGAATAAAACTCCAGATGTGGTAATAACATTAGCAAACACAGTACATACATACCGGAACATGAACATGTAGGATATTTATGAAAATTGTCCAGTTTTAGTAACAGTGTTTGCTGAAATAACCTACGCTAAAAGTTCTTGGGTTTCAAAGTATGTCAAGCTCAATTTTATTCTTAAACTTGTATGCATATTTTTTTGCCTTTTCCCCGAATTTTTACTCAAGAAATAAACTACATGTAATTGGAAGGAAATTCAATTTCCCAACGTGAAAAATCTTACCTAATCCTGTATGGCAAAACAACACGTACACGAGATCTTAAAATAGACATCACTTTGTTTTCGTGTTTTTCCTGTCCGCAGCAGGCCGTCCTAGTCCTACTTGTTTCCATACCTGATGTTGAAAGACAGATAATATCTCTGATCCATGTGTTGTTTTTGCCAAGCTAAATTGGTTGTTGACCTCGGTACGACCTCTCTACCCCCAATTGCTGTAACTCTCTGTGGGGGTTAGGGCAGGCATGGAGATTTGAGACAGGCCACTTTGTTTTTTTGATATCACCACTCTCTATTCTAAATGAATGTGTTCTTAATTAACCCTAACCTCACCTAAAGCTACAAAATACTACTAGTAGTAAACTGTAGTATGCGGTACTTCAGCATATAAGTGGGCACAGCACTCATAGTATTTTCTAGTATTTGGTACCTTCATACATAATGTTTACTTTGTAGTTGGTGGTACTTTACCACAAATGAACTCTTTGGGGATTAGGGTTAAAAACTGTGTGAATAGTAACTAACATCTGGTTAGAAAAACAGCAGCCAGTCACAAAAGATGCAATTTGCAAAATTTTACAGCAGCCTCGACTCCAGGGGCACGTGCTCGTTCCTTACACTAACCCCTGGCTGTGATGATGGCGTAAATGATGCTGAATGGCTATTCACAGCGTACTGTGCGGGCATTTCGAAGATTGCACGCCGGGCGCGCCCATAATGTGCTCGCGCTCGCGTGCTTAGCTTTGTACGTAACGTCACGTACGAAAAAAAAAATTATGATTCAAAAGTCGCGATGCCTGTACGCTATGGATTATGTCAGCCGGGTTTTTCGCAAAAAAAAAACCCTGTATCTGTGGTTGTAAAGGCACGAAAGGGGTACGTACATTTAATACAAATCTTTGCTAATTAACACACATCCAAACGTAGTGTTTGAAAGGATTGATTCTTCAAAATCACAACTTTTAACATTTTAAAGATGGCGTCGGCACGTAAAACGGATAAACTGCAGCCCTAATTATAATGTACCGTATTTTGGTATATTTAAATTACACAATTCCAGGGGTTACGATCGCACAAGGCATGATGGGAAACAACATGGCGCTGCAAGATCGTACCCACGGGGCACGAGGTTGCAATTACAGGGCCTATTTTAGGTCAGAAAAAATACCCTACCTACCCTATTTTGATACCCCTAATTTTTTTTTTTGGGGGGGAGGGGAATGAGAGAAAAAAAACCTGAAAAACATCAATTACTACCTTTTACCCTTGACTATACGCAGACAAAAAAAATTGCCCCCCCCCCCCCCAAATAATAAATTCCCTGCCTACCTACCTTTTAAAATGCCATGTAATCAGAAGCAGAACTATATTTTTTTGGCCTAAATACTGTCAGTGTGAATTAATTTAAAAGTTGAACGAAGTAATTGACTGGATCGGGGTTTGAACCTGCGACCTCCCGAACACCACACTGGTGCTTGACCAAAGTGAGGTTTTATCGTAACTGCAGAATTTCTGAAAAATGTACAACTTCAATAATTTGTTTATATATTTGACTCGGGGCGAAAATTTGATGGTGGGAGTTTAGTAGGGCACGTGTACACAAAAATTGCTCACATAATATGGACCAGCATTTTACTAAAGTGTTGAGCTATCCAGTTCCATCATTGTGGAATGTATTCAAAAGTCTATACTGAGCACATGTTGTTTTTGTTTGGACAATAATTGGTACACAGTGTCCAATCCAACTGTAAGTTTTGCCTTCTGAAGTTGAATTTGAATCATAGAAAACCATATCCATTTATGGTGATTGAAGACGATTTAGCCTTGGGCAGTTTTGCTAATTAGTTACTGTACTAACTAACACATACATGTACAATGTACCTGCATACATGTACGGTACACGCATACAGTACATGTGCCTGTACATATACATGTGTGCCTGTACATACATGTACAAATGTACATGCATGTAAGTAAGTAATCAATTTTTATTGCTTCCAACACATACATTTACGTGTACACAATATTTATGTGTAGTGCATTGCATACAGTGCACCTGGCATACTGGTAAAAAAATAAGAAACCATTAGCTTGTTATTAACAGCTTTTGTTTTGAGTGACCTAGTGGCGTCAATCCAACGTACATTGTACGTTGTGCATGTATGGGAAAGGAACAACGTGCTGGTCTTGTGTCCTCAAGCGATTAATTAAGGACATGGTGGAAAATATTGTAATCTTGTGCGGAGCAAGGCCGGTTCACAAGATAGCAATTCCGCTGATCGTAATTTTCCTTGCAGCATTTTAGGGATTAAAAGCTGTCATGATTAGAACACGGTCCTGTGGTCCAACGGTAGAACGTACGCTGTAATAAAAAAAAAACGGACACAATCTATCACACAGGTCACTGTACAGAATTTGTACGTATGAACATGCGTAAATGCACAATGGGAATCGTTCTGTAGTAAGAGCAATTTGAAGTGGTGCAAGCGTGCAGTACATGTTGTGGTTTTTGTACATGTAGTATAATTATGCAGTGTGGCGCGTGCATGGTTTTCTAACAGGCAACATGTATCACGTGTATAGAATAAAACGTTGCGTGCTTGATATGTCAGTCTATTATTGACTAGACATTTATTGCGTGTGTTGCCACTGGCCGGAATAATCTTTTTCAGGGGGGGGGGGAGACTACAGTTTCATGAATATATTTCAGTGTTAGTGGATACATAAAATTTGCAAGTATTACATTAAAGTGTGTACATGTATAGCTCTTTCTATTGAAATAACTGAATCTTAGGTTGTTTCTCATTGTTTTTAAATAATTTTGTAATTTGTGACCAGAAATTCAATTTGTCAGTAATTGTAAATAGAGATAAATTACAATCTCTTCACCTCGATAAGAGGTATGTGAAATTCCATATGTTTTCATAAACAAGTCACAGTTGATGTTTGTTTGCATGTTGTTTAAAACTGATGCAGTAAGTGAATTAGCCTACCGGTATATTTGAATGAATATTCTAAAGGTATCAGATGGCAGTTTTGTGTATGAGCTGCTCATTCAGACTTTTCAACCAGAGCAGTCACATTTGAACTGTTTTTTTTTTTTTTTTTGTGTCAAAATGTCATATTCCCCATATTTATTATTTTTGGATTACTTTTCTTTTTCAGGGTTCAGTACCTGTTTGGGAGGACTTCACTAGCAAGGCATCCAAATTACACACACAACTCAAGTAAGTCCCCAATGCCTCCCTGGCAGTAGAACGCAAGTGTGATGATCCGCTCAATATTTTTCAGTGCAGAAATTCTCACCAATTTGATACAATTTTTGTGTAATAATAAGCACTTTCACGGTAATATGCGCCATCTTGTTCACGGGGCAAAAAGAACACCCGTTGCTAGACGCGGGCGCATTTTGGAATGAACGCTTGATGACTTGGAATCGATTGAAGATGCGTACACAGCAACACGTGTAAATTTGCCCCGTAAGCAAGATGGCGCATGTTATCGTGAAATTGAGAGTAAACGTAACAGCTGTAATTTCACAACAAATCAGATTTAATGTGTCTTTATTGAATGTGTGGATACTCTGTTGCAGGACCACGATCGTTGCTGTGAGTGCGTTCTTAGAAGCCTTTCAGCGTATTGCAGATATCGCTACCAACTCCAGAGGTAAGAATCAATAAGGCCCTCAGCCAAACGTACCTGGCAGGCAAAATTGAAAATCTCATTCAAAGATTCTCCACATTGATAAAGAAAAATGATAAAAAGACAAATGTTAAAAATTTCATCGGTAATGAATTGGATGTCAGTGATTTCAGAACAGAAGCTGAGCAGGGCGCTTATTTTATTTTATTTTTTATTATTTTTTTTTTAAAGCATTCAGGTCTTCAAGTATATTAAATTATTTCACAAAATACCGTTCACTGAAAACATTAGGTTGAACTTACACGTACGATTGGCAACAATCATGCACGTGATTGCATATGTTAATTAAAGACGAAAATGTCCCAGTGGGGTGTAATAAACACCTTGTAAATTGCACGGCACTGCAAGTGCAGCACAGGGATGCAATACATAATGACTAGTTTGTCACGGTGGGAAGTCACTACACGTGGCCTGTGCCTGCTCTCAAGTAATGAAATCTTTGTCATTCCTCGAGCGTGATTCGTGCTCCCTGTCACGTCTTGAGAAGTCGTATAAGACTAGAATTCCTCCCTCGAGTGGCTGTGCTGTACAGCATCCAGAGAAATCTTGAAGTCGAAACCTTTTTTCCGTGGCCGTTTGAGGTCTACATGAACCTCATATTTTTTATACATGTAGCCTATAATTTATTTTTTCAGAGACAAAATTAAGTCAAATAATTATTATGTTTTTAACAGTTTTGGATCAAAGAATACCGATATTTGAGTCAAGACTCGTCAGTAAAAAAAAACGCTTTTTCTTTAGAGCCAAAATCTCACCCAAATGTTAAGTTACGGTCCTCTCAGACTCAAGTAATTTTAGAGATTCACTGTCCCAATTTAATGATTATTTTAAATTCTACTTCAACAACCGGCCCAACTGATTTCTTTGCTGAAAGTCAAGGGGTTGAAAGTTTTTGTTTTTCTACATTGGACTTAAATTAGATATGATTTTCCATTATATGAGCATCTTGTGTGGTCTTGAAAGGTTTTAGCTACACGCACGTCGCCGAGATGCGGTCAACCTTTTGGTGTCTCTTTCATCAACTGCTTATCACTGAGAGATATCAGGGAAAATCTCTGTCAATCGGGGGAATCTTTGTCATTCCTGTAGTGTGATTTTTGCTCCATGTTACAACTTGTGATGTTGCAAGTGCGATAGTGTGCATCTTTGGCTGGCTGCACTATACATCCTCTGTAGAGCCATCAACGTTTTTTGTCTACATACGTACTTCTTCAGCTGCAAATAACTGAGTGATATCTGCATTGGGGAAAATTATTTGTCATTGGAGCAAATATTTGTCATTCTTTGATTGTGATTTTGTGTACCACGTCCCGTTTTGAGATATGTTGTAAGTCTTGTGTAGTCTCCACCTCAGATGGCTGCGCTATACAGGCTCCAGAAATGCCATCAACTTTTTTGGTGTCTCCTTCATCAGCTGCTGATCAATGAGTGATATATCTGCATTGGAAAATCTTTGTCAATGAACCTATCGCAGGCAGAATCGTGTCATCACAGCTAGTGAAATGTTGTCCAATTACACGTTATACAAATGGAGCGGAACGCCCAAAATCTGAGACAACAAAACTTAACGTACTATATTCCATAGGGTTGTCTAAGAGGCGTGGCTAACTCGCAAATGACGATATGTCAATTAGGGGAATCTTTGACATTCCTTGAAGGCTTGATGGTGATTTTTGTGCTCCGTGTCACGTTTTGAGATGTTGTAAGTCTCCCGTAGTCTCCCCGTCATCTAGCTGAACTATACAGCCTCCAGTGATGCTGTCAACTTGTTGGTGTCACTTCATCAGCTGCCCATCACTAAGTGATATCTGCATCAGCAGGGGGGAGATCTTTTGTCATTGGGGTGAATTGTCACCCCATGAGCAAGATTCGTGCTCCCCGTCATGTCTTGAGTTGTCGCAAGGCACGGCTGGCTGCGATATCCGGCCTCCAGTGACGCCATCAACTTTTGGTGTCTCCTTCATCAGCTGCTGATCACTGAGTGATAACTGCATAGGGGGACACATTACCAAATTAGATTGTTGTGCGTGGCATCGGTCCAATACTGAGCAGCGCTTGGGTTATTACCTCTCAGGACACAGGGCTTGTGAGTTGTGATGTCTTCATTTAATGAGCATTGTGGTCGATGAGTGAGGAATCTATCATAAAGGGATGCCCAAAATTGCCCCGGCTGGCCTGATTTCATATTTCTTGCCATCAATAGTTTTGGGGATCATAATGCATAGGAAATGGCATTCTCAGATTGTTAATTAGATTTTGATTCTGAGATGAAAAAGGCAAAATTTGAGAACTTTAATTTAAAAAAAAAAAAAAATTGATGGATAGATTTTTTAAAAATACATGAAAGATGTGAGTTTTAAATATTTTTGGTGTAAAATGGTAAAAAGGTTTAGAAAAACCGTTGGTAATCCAAAATATAATCATGTATCATTTTTGGTACAGATCTCTCAGATTCTGCTTACAATTGCATTCTTGTCAAACCTTAAATCTCGAATATAATACATACAACTGTACATGTACTTGTACCTATCTGGGAACCATGTGACATGCTGATAACCAGTTAATTTAAGTGAACACATTCAAGTTGGGTTTGCCTGGTATTCGGTAGTCGGCGGCCATCTTGGCTCATGCGTTACCATCACTCCTTTAATCGTGACACGGAATGTTCCCCTGCACGTGTTGCCGGCCAATGAAAGGCATCGTCCTTCCCTGATGAAAAGTATGATTAATTACGGTCGTGGATTTATGATTGTTATGTCTTCACGACAGCGGGGTCGTTCGTGATGTTTATTTGTAAAGCAGCCAGCCAGGCGCTTTTTCTTAACGATCTCGAAGCAGGTTTTTCCTGCACCACAACATGTCTATGCTAATAAAAAATTCCGCCCAGCGATTAGGTCCATTTCATTATAATAATTTTTTGTTCGATAGGCTATACATGTAAAGTGTTATGTTTGAAGCGTTTTCCTGATTTTATGACTGGCGGCACGAACGCTTATTGTAAACATCAATATACACGTGTTTGTAAAATTGTAAACAACTTGTTTATGAAGAACATGACTCACTCAGTCTGCAGTGTTATGATAATTCATGTGAGATGTAAACCCAGTAATATACAATCTGCTTTTGAAATTGCATTCAGATGTTCTTTGTGCATAGAAAAGAATCAAATTGGGCACTCTCTCACACAAAATTTAAATAGTTTTCCAAAAAAGGAGCATTTAGGCCTAGACTTATTCAGATGTTCTTTATGCATTGAAAAGAATAAATGGGCACTCTCTCACACAAAATTAAATCGTTTTCCAAAAAAGGAGCAATAGGCCTAGACTAAATTTATGTCCCAAATATTCCAATCTTCATTGTACTTGCACCAGAAAACGTTTTGCCATGATACGTATATTTTCTGGGGGAAAAAATCAATTCTGCTAAAAAATATACCCATTGTGGGAATTAGATTGTTTAAAATCCTCCAGTATTTTGGCTGCGTTTTGCCACTTTTGTTTCAATGCTTAGGCCTCTAGAGACACACTGCTTATTCGAGTGCTTTGCCGAAGGTGTTGGCATGTTGAGTAGTGTATTTTAATCAGCTAGGCTTATTTTGTGCCTGGGGTTTCGGTTACTCTCACACGATAAGAGCTTTTGAACACCTAGGGAAATATCAGTGAGAAAATAAACCACAGTTTCCGGTCAATTTTCTTTTCTAGCTCAGTTCTCTTTTCTCTTTCTCCATGCACCTGTTTTTATTCAGAGCGTTTCATATTTTTTCTCTTAAGTTTGCATCGCAAATCCCCTGAAGTATTTTAAACCCTTACGGCAAACACGGTTCCATCGGTAAATCAAGAGCAAACATAAAGAGTGAGACGTCTTTTAAGGACCCCACGTTGGATTACTGATATTACAAATGGAAAAAAATGAACGAGGTTGTGCAGCCACAATTACAAAATGTGGCTTGTGGCAATGTGGGTAATATTCATATTTCTGATGTCGTCAGCAGATAAACACACTATTATATGTGTGGCTAAATTTATTTTCCAATGTACAAAACTTAAAGAGAGGCAAAGCATGACGTAATTTCAAAGCATATTCTTTGTTAACCCACCTGCCAAATAATGTAATGTTTAATTTCACTGTTGTAACCCTTCCCCAGGGTCATGGGGTTTGTTCCTATTGTGGAATAAAACATAATATAACATAACAATTGAAATAACATTCATATACATGTATGAATATAGCGTACATGTTTACACGAAGTCTTGCAATCGCATGGTGCTAAATTTGTAGTAAAAATATCTAGGTAACATTCTTGCGTTAAGTTCAAATTCAGAAAGAGTGTTTTATTTTTCTAATTTTGCAGGAAGAAAAAATTCAACTTTAACCCAGATTATCCAAGTTTATTAACCTGGATTTAATGTTTCTGATTTAATGTTTTGACTTTGATCATATTTTATTTCAATCATCTTTTGACGGATATATTCTCTGATGATTCATACATGTAAGTGAAAGTCCACGTCTTTTATCGAAACTGGAAACCAATTGTGTGATAGTGGTGGAAGTCGTTGGAGGGCCCTGCCGGTTGTATGGTTTCCTGTCCCCCTGCGTTGATGGGCAGTGGTTCTAATGGGCATTCTAGCTTCATCATAGGATATATTGATTTGGACGTAATGGCGTAATTCCTCCGTGGCCCTGGCTTGACCAGAAGCTGGCTTGATGCAAAGAGGAAAGCCTTATTACATGCATTGAGGTATACGTAGCATAGGAGCTTGTTTAGTTACAATGCACGTAACCTGCATGCATGTTACGGTACATGTACATGTACATTGTACCCGTTTTCACAATATCTTGATATCTATGAATATGCACAGCCCAGCTTCAGCAAATTATTTACATTTGTGTACATGTACATGTAGAACACGTACATAATTGTGTACTTTTATTAATGGGAGACATTTAGACATTGATGGCAGCAA